TAGCTACACCACAAAAACTCCAAAAGCCACATCTAAAAACGCTCAATGGGTCATATAAACCCCAGTAAACAACTTAAAACCATAAAACAAAGAACCCCATTTGGATCCTTGGCGGCTTGGCCTAGATAAGAGAGAAAGAAAGAGAAATAAACAAAATTATAAACAAATAATACAAAAATAGAAGAATGTAGTACCATGTAAATGGGCATGCTGTGTGAAAGGCCATAAGCGAGATGAAAAATTTTGTGTATGAGGAAATTTTCAAAGCTTAAATTGGGGAAAAGAGAGAGAAAGAGAAATAAAAGGGGATGGGCGTGACTTCTGAGGTGTTTGGGGTACACAAGTTTGAAGCAAAATTCACATTTGGCCCATTGAAGTTTTCAAAATGTTGATAGAATCTATGATAGTTTGTATAGTAGTGGCAAAAAGTCAAAAAAGTTAAAAAAGGAAAAGGTTATTTATTAAAAGAAAGAAGAAACTTTCAGAAAAATATTTATGGTCACTGAGTAGATTTTCAAGATTTATTTGACCATAAAATTTGATCAGATTTTTAAATATTTTTGTGGAACAAAATTGTTGAACAATTTCATTCATATATTTCTATGTCATATACATGACTTTATATATACATAAAAGATTGTGGAATAGAATCACCTAAATCCCATGAAATTTTGGGATTATACAGATTCATATATTTTACATTAAGAGAAAATCAGAGTAATGATATCCAAAATTATCCTAAGATCTTAAAGGATCAGAATATCCTCTTGGAAATCCATCAACACTTCCCCTCGAGCGGGTGAATGGATATCTTCCATTCCTAGCTTGCTTATTAGATCTTGAAACACATTATTTGACAATCCTTCTGTTAAAACATCAGTCACCTGATCTTTTGTAGATACAAATGGCGTACAAATGAGTCCACTATCTAGTTTATCCTTAATGAAATGTCTATCTACCTCAATATGCTTAGTGCAATCATGTTGTACAGGATTATGAGCTATACTTATTGCTGATTTATTGTCACAATATAGTCTTATATGTCCTTCGCATCTTATCTTCAAATCATCAAGGATTATCTTTAACCATAACAACTCACAAACTCCCATAGCGATAGATTGAAACTCAGATTTTGCACTTGATCTAGCAATTACATTTTGTTTTTTACTCCTCAAAGTCACCAGATTCCCTACTAAGAAAGTAAAATATCCTGAACTTGACCTTCGATCCACTAATGAACAAGCATAGTTCACATCAGTATAAGCCTCTAAAATCATGTCTCCTCTTTTGAATAATAATCCTTTTCCTGGACTTCCTTTAAGATATTGTAGAATCTGATTAACAGCTTGAAGATGCCGTTCTCTAGGATCATGCATAAATTGGCTAACAACACTTACAACAAATGCAATGTTCGGCCTTGTATGGGACAGGTAAATCACTACAAGCCTTTGATACAAACCCTTATCAATCATAGGTTCTTCAGGAGCATTACATAATCTATGATTATATTCAATTGGTGTAGCCACTGGTTTACACCCTAATTTTCATGTTTCTTTCAGCAAATCAAGCACATATTTTTGTTGGGAAATAAAGATTCCTTGTTTTGAGTGTGCCAGTTCGATTCCTAAAAAATACTTTAATTTTCCAAGCTCTTTGATGTCAAATTCCTTGAGTAAACACTTCTTGAAATTTTGTATCTCCTTTGAATCATCACCTGTTACAACGATGTCATCCACATAAACCAACAATGTTGTCACCTTTCCTGTTTTTGAGTGTCGTGTGAACAAGGTGTGGTCTCCTTGACTTTGTCGATACCCTAGCTTGATCATAACTTTTGTAAATCTTCCAAACCATGCACAAGGTGATTGCTTTAATCCATAAGTGTCTTCTTCAATCTACACACCATTCCCTTCTGGCTTTCAAAACCACGTGGCACCTCCATATAGATCTCCTCATCTAAGTCCCCATGTAAAAATGCATTTTTTACATCAAATTGTTGTAACTTCCAATTAAAAACTGCAACCAATGATAATAAGATTCTCACTATATTCATTTTGTCACTACGGCAAAAGTCTCCAAATAATTAATTCCATAGGTTTGTGTATAACCCTTTGCTACCAAACGTGCATTATATATTTCTATGGACCCGTCTAACTTATATTTCACTGTAAACACCCATCACCACCTGACAGACCTTTTTTCTTTTGGTGATTCCACAATATCCCAAGTTTTTTTTTCTCCCAATGCTTCCATTTCTACCTTCATAGCTTTCTCCCGTTCTTTATTTCCTAATGCTTCAGACAAATTTATGGGATAGGAATTGAGTGGAGGTTACAGAGAAAAGTTTTATGACTTGGGGATAGATTTTGATATGTCTTGGAAAGGCTCAAAGGGTGTTTTTGTTGTGTCCAATATCTGGTTCCTTTTCTGAATGCAATGGGAAGGGCAAGGTCACTAGGTTGGATAAATTCTGCTTCATGCCTGAGGAGATGATTGCAACTACTAGCTTGATCAACTTGTCTCTTTCTTCTGGAATATACCTGCAATGGTAGATTATTTTCTAGAATTCCATTATCTATATTTGGATTAGAAAACTCAATGGGTTCATTTGGATTTAGAGATTGAAACTCAGGTGACCGAACAAATAGTGACTCAAGCAAGAATTTGGCACGACTAGAAATGAACAACTCAAATAGAGGTTCCTCTCCCTTCAATGACTCCCCTAGATAGTAAGAATGATTAAAAAGAGATCCGCTCTCATCAAATGTGACATCCATTCAAACAAAGAATTTTTTAGATGATGGTTGATAATACTTGTAATCTTTTTGAGTAGGAGAATATCCTATGAAAACACACTTAAGAGCACGTGGATCTAATTTGCCTCTATTTTGAGAATGAATATGAACATAGGCAACACTTCCGAAGATTCTAGGAACCAAATTATTGGAAATTTTGAAATTTGGAAAGAAAATCCTAAGAGTATCAATCGAACATTGGAAGTTCAGAATTTTCGATGGCATTCTGTTACTAAGATGTGCAGCAGTTAGGACATCTTACCCCAATACTGTTTTGGCACCTTTTTGTGAAACAATAATGATCTAGTAATGTCAAGTAACAAATCGTTTCTTCTCTCTGCTATCCCATTTTGTTGAAGAGTATTGACACATGAAGATTCATGAATAGTTCCCTCTTTTTGGGAGAAAAGAGAGGTTTTCATTACAGTAGTCCTTGACATTGTCAGATCGAAATCTTTTAATTGGCACATCATATTGGGTTTTGATCATATTAAAAAAGGTAGGAAGAATTAGACTGACATCAGATTTTTACTTTAGCAAATAGATCCATGTAACTCTTGTACAATCATCAATGAATGACACAAACCATCTAGCACCAGAAATATTAGGAATGGGAGAGGGTCCCCAAATATCACTATGAATAAGAGAGCATGGAGTTTGACATCTTTTGTGACAAATTGGAAAGGAAATACGTTTGTGTTTTGCAATTTCACAATCATCACAATGAAACGAGTCCAATATCAAATCTTTGAACAAAGATGGTAACATCCTTTTGATTACATAAAGGGAAAGGTGACCTAACCAACAATGATAAAGTCATACTTTCTCTTTATTGGACATGATAGACTCGAAGAAGGATGAACTAGACAAGGAATTCTTAGATATGTATTTGCCATTGTGGAAATCTAAACAATAACTCCACCTGTCTCACTAGCATGCCCAATCATCTCTTTCGTGTTCTGTTCCTGAAATAAGCAATATGAAGGGAAGAAAGTTACTTGGCATTTGGAATCTTTGGTGAGTTTCTGCATAGAAATGAGATTTGCACATAACTTTGGGATATGAAGGACATCTTTTAAGTATGACAGATTTTTCAAGTGGTATGTCTCCTTGACCAGTATCAGTGATAACTGAACCATCAGCTATAGTTATTTTTTTATAGCTAGGACAAAGGGAATATGATATGAAGAGATAAGAGAGACTGGTCTCGTAACTAGTTACCCCAGAAGCAACCACCCACATTGGAGAAAGTTTGTCTGCGACATTAGTAATAAAAAAGTAAGAAATACCTAGAAAGGCCAATGAACAACTATCTGTTGAAGCTGAATGTTGCAAATCTCTAGTTGAAACTGTAGAGTTATTCTCTACGGTTGCAGAAACATTTTCAGAGACTGGAATGTTTGCGGCAGTACCATTTTCAGACATGGTAGCAAAATGGGATTTTATCAAGATAGGATGAATAAAATTGGTTAGGAATAAGCCTTAAGCCTAAAGCTCTGATACCATATGGAATAAAATTGTTGAATAATCATATATATATATAAAAGAAAACCTTAGACCCGCCTATGTGGCAGCACCACAAACCAAAATTCCCTTTTAAATTTATTTATTTCCAAAAATAGCCTTCTCATTTCATGAAAAATTGCGACTTTTATGAAGAGTTGTGACTTTAATGAAGAGTTGTGACTTTTATGAAGAATTACGACTTTTATGAAGAGTTGCGACTTTCATTAAAAGTTGCGACTTTTATTAAGAGATGTGATTTTTATGAAAGGTTGTGACTTTTCGGAAGGTTACAATTTTTCCAAATAATTGTAACCTTTCAGAAAGGGTATAATTAATAAACATTTGTGCACGGTACCTTTGTTGTCTATAAATAAATGAATTTTCTCTCACTTTAAAATAACGAAAATTCTAAACCTCCTCCTCTTCTTCTTTTTTTTCTTCTTCGTCTTCTTCTTCTCAACTAAATATTTATGTACATTGTTCCTGTTGAGTGGCTCACTGATGATTGCTTATGTTATAGATCTTGGTATAATTTATTTAGTCATTAAATTATGTAAGGATAAATGATAGGATGTAATAAATTTCATTTTCTTTACATTATTAATGTTTGTTACCACGTAATAATCTTGTATGCGAGATAATATAGTGTTTTATTTTTAATAACAAATAGATTTAAAATATTATTTTATAAATTCTCTGATATTAAGTTCCCGCGCGAGGCGCGGATATAACTTTACTAGTTTCATTCATATATTTCTATATCATATACATGGTTTTACATGTACATAAGAGATTGTGGAATAGAATCACCTAAATCCCATGAAATCTGGGATCCTACAGAATCATATATTTTACATTAAGAGAAAATCAGAGTAATGATATCCACAATTATCCCAAGATCTTAAAGGATCATATCTTTGATGACAAGAATATCCTCTTGGAAATCCTCTATCAGCCAACAATTTTCAAGTTCCCAACAAATATCGGTTTTGGAGGACATGGCTTCTTCTCCGAGTTACTAGGTCATGCAATATGCTTCTAGTTCATAGTTACAAGTTATTGTAAGCTCTCTAAGATCTCCTTGAAAGTCCAAGCAGTTACAAGGTCGGCAAAGACTTGCTTGGAAATATATTATAAAGAAACTAAAGGAGCTCTTTAATGATTTTTTTGAAGCAAGGCCGGGACATAAATTAGGAGTAGTACCCACAAGATGAGAAAGAAGGCACAAATCAAAATATTGATCATTGAAGAATTGAATTTTGATTCTCATTTCCTATGAGGAAGGGAAAGTTTGAAGAGCTTACATAGTTCATTGTAGGAGTCATGGTCATCAAGTCCAATTCTGCATTTGACATTCACAGGAAGACTTGTATTTGCAGCAATTAAGCACATGGATGCAGCATACAACTTTCCCTGTAGAAGTTGTGCATGTGTCCGAGCAATGATACAGAAAAAAATATGTTTGATGTATCAAGCAAGGAAATCTAATCCAACGGATCAAGCATGAGAGCACACCACCAGCGACTCTGGGGTTAAGACATCCGCAACTGTTAAATAAACCAGAAAAAGTATCAGTTATAAAATTAATTACCTCATAGCCATATGGAGTTGCCAGTTGTGTCGCTTTGGCCAAATTCTTCAAATTATTTCACCAAATTAGCAGCACTGTAGGATGTTGCTCAAGCCCATATGCCAAGAACCTATCCTGGTATATTAGAAAAATCACATAAATGTCAGATTTCACTGCACGATAGAAACACATAAGGATCAGTCAGTGACAAGCTGCTATTAAAGGTCCAAGCCACAAGCGCAATAACATATCAGTACAAGAAAGTTCCTTTTGAAGATCTACCCAGGTTAAAATAATATATCATCTAGGTGCCTTCTTTGCCACGTAATTCACAACAAAGAAATAAATATTCCTTTTTTAGGAAACCATCTAACTGGGACAAGGGTCTTAGTTTAGAGAAACGAAAATGACCAACCAATTTGGCTAACTCGGCCCTTGAAAGACTACCCAAAGATTCTATAGTACTTGATATAATAAAAACAGTACGATTCATCTATTTAGTAAATCAAATACAAGTGTCAGGTTCCACCTATAGAAGTGTTAACAGTAAGCTTCTCTTTGTATAAGGTCAGTGCACATCATGTAGAAAGTAGGCATATAACCACAGAGACATACATCCACTATTTCCTTTTATCATGAAAATTGGGGCTGGCAGCAAGTGGATCAAGATTAAAGAAAGTAACTTTTGACTATTTCACTGTCTCATGACTTGAAAAAATGGGCAAAATAATAGGATATTTTGATTTATGCACATCCAGTGAAAATTTTAACCGGTACATTTGAGTTAAATTATCGTAGACGAGTTTGAATCCACTGTAATTGTAAACCTTCACATACTATATAGCACAGATATGTTCATCTCTTTCACATTTCTTTTTGTTTAGAATAAGAACAAAGGATTAACTCGCACGATTCTCTTCTTTTTGCTTAGAGGTACTTTATGGTTGGGTAGAGAAGCACTAGAGTCTTATTCCATGCAGCAGAACTTTAGCAAATTGCCAGTCTGGTAGACAATCATTTCGGCAGCAAGTATTTATGTGTAGAGCCACACCTTTTTTTGAGATAAGACAGGCCAGAGTTCTGTAATGGTTATCTGTCCATTCCATCATGGGGGCAACACTTTTAAATACAAAGGCTTATATACTAAGGAGCTCTTTTTGTTATTCTCTTAAGTAAGAAATATTTAGGGGGCTTATAAACTTTGTAAAGAGAGAAAATTAGACTTCTGTATGCACACAACTGAACCAAGGAGGAGTGTCTCTCTTGAACTTCCATAAAAGAAGTTTGATGACCCACAGATTTCTTCTTCCCTCTTATGAACATTTCCATTGGATAGAAAAGGCATCACACAAGAGGACATGATATATACCACACAGGCGTTTTGAAACATTTACACATACAGATAATTAACTGAATTAATGAATACCTAGATCCACCTACTTCAATATAAACCAAAAATAATACTTCGATCATTATATTAAGGACGAATTACCAGGAAATGGAAAATTGATATACTTGCTCAACTAAACAAAATGGAGAAAGGACCAGAACAAACAGAAATTAGGGAACTCAAAAACGAAACAAGAAAAACTAAGAAGCTTCGCGTTTAGGGTTTTACATGGAAGCAGAGAGATGATGCTGCAGCTACTTCTGAGGAGAATCCAGTGGCCGTTGGAGAAGACAAAACCATAGCTACAACGTTGCCTCTAAATCTTCTCCTCTTAATTCAATTTATTGGTAGGTTAATTTGAAATTCAATAATATATTATATTAGTCTTTCTCTAATAAACTCTTCGTTCATTTCATTAAGTATTTTTATTTATACGAAATTAAAAAAATAAAGAATATTTTTGAATCTTATGATCCTAAATTAATTTTAATTTGTGGTTTTAAATATATTACGTAAAAAGCTGAAATTAAAATATTACTAAAAAAAGAAAAAAATCATACTTTTTTAAATCGACTAAAAATGAAAAAAACTCATTCTTTTTTAAACAGAGGAATAACATAATAATGAGTTATAACATACGATTATAACTATAGTTTGCATAATTGTATTCCATAACAAACATAAATATGCATATTTTGATGTATATATACAAAAGAAAGAAGTTATATATAATTAATTTCTATTTTGGTACATATACAAAAGATCAATTATATAATTTGTTTTTATATAAAGCAAGAAAGAGAAAAGGTAAAAGAGAATTAGATACAGATAATATTTGTATCGGGAATACCCTCAAAATATTGGAAATGGTATAAAATTATCCTATATCCATCTATTGGCTCCAAAATACCCTTCATAAATTGACAACTTATATAATGGTTTTACATTTAAACTATTTATATATATTTTTAAATATGTGGCACTCAACTATTTGTTAGTTTAATTTATTAGTATAATTTATAAATCAATCTACTACATACTCATTACTAATTAAACCCCACCAAATTAATAAACCCGTCATATTACTAATGCAACAAAAGGAAAGATACTGCATATGACTGTTTTTAAAAATTTAAGGCAAAAATTTATATAGAAGTAAATTATCATACATTCAAGTGTCTAAATAAAAATTATCGATAAATTTAAAAGTCTAACTATGTTCATCTTAATTATTCATTCATCTCAACTATGTGATGTTACTTCATAAATAACTTTTTTTTAAAAAAAATAATATATTAAAGGTAAACAAATCATAAATATTTATAAAATTATATTAAAAAAATGCATGAATTAATTCGGGATGTACTACTTTTTTATCTTTAATCATAAATTTCGAATTCAAAGTTGAAAGAGCGTCTTATTGAAAGTGTCCTCCTAAATAAGCGGCTCAACTTAAATTTAATTAGGACTTCGATTCGGACTTGAATAATTTTGGATGTCATTTTCAGGAATCTATAATTTCGTCGTGTTTTGTAGTGGTTATGACAATTTTGATATTATAATTGCTTTATTACTTGGGTGGAGTTTAGTTAATAATGAGTGAGTAGTGGGTTGATTTAAAAATTATATTAATAAATTAAATTATAATCAATAGTTGAGCGCCCAAGTATATTGAAAAATATGTAAACAATTTAATTTTAAAGCCGTTAAATAAGTGATCAATTTTGAACTCAAAGGCGAATGACAAAGGTATTTTGGAGTCAATAGATGGATGAGAAGGACAATTTGGAGCCAATAGGTGGATGGAAGGTGATTTTGTACCAATCCAATACTTCAAGGTAGGGATGTCAAAAATAAACCCATACATATGTAACCCGCCTAACCCGTCCAGAATTTTAAGGGTTGTGCTTAAGATAATTTGAATTAGGTTCAATCTCAACCAATTTAAGCTTAACCCATTTGAAGAGAATTCTCAATTGAGCCCAATTCAATCTCCAATTTCAACCCGTTTTAAAACTTTTTAATAAGATATGCTTCCTATATTGAAGGTATGAATTATAATCTACTTAACATCTTTTAAGATTTATCTATCCATTTATAACTTTTTTAATAAAAAGTTCTTGAGCAGAAATTCAAATTGTGATTATAAAAGTTAAATATCAGTATGTCAAGTTATTGAGATTAATCGGGTCAAATTGGGTGGGTCAAGACCCAACCTTTCTTTAGCCCATTTGAGCCCAACCCATTTGAACCCAAAGTTAACTTGGCGGGTCAAGACCCAACCCGATTTCTATTCAACCATTTTAATATTTCCAATTCAACCCAACCCTTTGACACCCCTACTTCGAGGGTAATTTAGGTCCTTTTTCGTATTTGTATTGTATAATTATAAGTATATACAATAAAGATATATGTATTTGCATATGTATATATAATTTTTTCTCGTTTTACAAACAAACACAATTATACATTTTTGTTTGCATAAGCGAGAGAGGCGAGAGAGAGACCAGCAAGCAAAATTTGAAGAGTGGCGAGTGAAATCTGAGAGAGGGGAGAGAAAAGAGAGAACGAAAATGTATGTATATACACAATTTTCTCTCTAAATTTACTGTTTTGGATACATTTGATGCCGTAATTCATTACAGTAGGATGATCTTGCACACACCATCAAAATTAATAATCAGGTACCAAAATGAGATAATGTCAAAGCAAACGTGTGCCATCATCTTAATCAGGATTTGAGAATGAATATTTCATTGTTAATTTTTTTTACATTGTAAAATAATCTAAATTCTAAAAGATGAGCCTTCGAAGACTTGTCTAAGTGCTTTAAACTGGATCAATTTAAAGCTAACATATATTATATATATTATGAAATAATAAATTATTAATTTAAATTAAATGTTATATTCATAATTTATTTTATTTGAAATTCACAGCAAACATTTCATTTTTCGTCATCTGATTCGATATACAATTACTCATTCGATAAGCAAAAGTATAAAAGTGTATTTGCGTTTGTATAAAACGAGAGAGAAATATATATATACAAATACAAATACATATATTTTCGTTCTTATACAATTATAATTATACAAATACAGATCTTATTATACAGATTACAATATATAAATAAATTTATACAAAACTGAACAATTTGTATAAACTTGAATGTTTGTAGCAAATTATACAAATCAAAAACTCTATAGCAAACATAAAAATTGTTATGGAGCCTAAATATGCAAACTAAACGATAACATACAATTATGATTTTTATGTTCGATAATTTAAAATCTATTTTTAAACATAGTTTCTCATAGTTTATAATAATTACACAGTTGAAATTTATGGTGAGATAAATCTAAAAATCCTTCTAGTTTGAATTTAGGGACAACTAATAAACAAATACAGTGATACAACCGTGAGTTGTTCCATCACAGATTTACTACTAATTTCAGTATGTTGTATATTTATACAACATGAATTTAAAAAAAGAAGCATCAATGACACAACACATATCTTGTTACTAATAATTAGCCAAACTATCACAAAGTTAAGGTAACTGGGATTACAGTACCTCTATTATGAAAACGGAGAAGGGTCTAAAATACCCTTATAGTATTAGAATTGGTATAAAAATATCCCTCGTTTATCTTTTGGCCTTAAAATACCCTTGGGGTTAACTTTAGGGACTTATTTTGTCCTTTTGGCTAACAGACTATTAAGTCAATATATTTAATTATTTCATTTATTACGTGGCATCTTATAATTAGATAAAAATTTAATTAATTAAAATCTAATTAGTTTGATCCAAACCACCCTATCCACCCGGATCGACCCGACCCATCTTTCAAAATACCCAACCCATCCAAATAAAATATCCATTACCCATTTCTTTTAAAAAAAATAAAAAAATTCACCCAACATCATCCGTTCTTGGAGCTCTCTTGAAGTTCATCTTCTTCATCAGATTGTATACTCTCAGAAGGGGTATCAAAAGCATCAAAGGACTTGATGTACTTCCCATTTGGTTGGGGCTCTCGGATATGCCTTGGAATGAATGTTTCGATGATTCAAGGAAAGCTTGTTTTGGCTAAAATCTTACCGAACTACTCATTTGAGCTTTCCCCATCCTATGCTCATGGTCCAACAATGCCAGCTCTTGTTCTACAACCACAATATGGTGCTCCTATGATTGTTCCTTCTGGCCAGCCTTCCGTGGCAAATTCCACACTAATGGAGACAACAACACAAATCATGATGATAATGAGAGTGATATCCTGCAAAGCCTCCCAGAAAACTTAACAAATCTGATGAAGAAGATGAACTCCAAGAACTGATGATGTTGGGGGATTTTTTTTTTTTCAAAGAAATGGGTAATGGATATTTTATTTGGATGGGTTGGTATTTTGAAAGATGGGTCGGGTCGATTCGGGTGGATAGGATGGTTTGGGTCAAATTAATTAGATTTTAATTAATTAAATTTTTAACCAATTACAACATGCCACGTAATAAATGAAATAATTAAATATATTGACTTAATAATCTGTTAGCCAAAAGGGCAAAATAGGTCCTTAAAGGCCAAAAGATAAACGAGGGGTATTTTTATATCAATTCTAATACTATAAGGGTATTTTAGACCCTTCTCCGTTATGAAAATTACTCATATAAGTATCCTCAGGGGCCCATCATACCTTAGACAAAAATTGTCCCAATAGCCTCAAGCTGATTATATCTAATGGAATTTATGGTAGTATCATGGTGATTTCAGTCAATTCATACTGAAAAGAGCTCAGCTGGCTATAATATATATTATAGTATAACGACGACATCTACTCTGAGTTAATACCAGTAACAGCAGAGCCTTCTATATCTCTAGAAATTTTACATTGAAACGGTAAGCCCAACAAGATTAATTTGAAGTGCCACCAAAAGGCTCAAAAACAGTGTTAAACCTCTGACCAGAAAAGAGAATCTATAAACTAAACAAAAGGTGACAATATAACAGAACCAAACCAATGCCTTGCATGGAAACCAAAGGTTAGATAAGTTGCAGAAAACACATAATGCAGGGTGCAGTAACCTTGAGCTGTTCAGCAGTTGCTCATGCTCTTCTCATCCAAAGTCGCAAATACGCTGCATCTAATAACCAATTTAATAGCAGTCAAGAGTCTTGCTTCGGAGATACTAAACGTAAACCTTGCTTTCCAAGTTCCAAGTTCTTCGTCTTCCCATCATCAAGAGCAACAGACACAACAGATGAGCCTTCAAAGACTTCTACGACAGTCCCTCTATGCCTGAAAAAGAAAACAAATTGAAAGATCAAACTAGCACGCCTCAAGGAAAGTGCGGTACAGATTTATATGAATGCTCTTCGGAACAATTTCATATTTAAGAATCAGCAAGGAAGCCACGCTAGTTAAACTTCCCAATCAAACTACTAACTATAGATAGACAATGAGTTCCTTTGATTTATCCTACTATACCTTAATTTCCAATGCAATTCACTAGCTCTAGCCTCTATTTATTGCCCTTCACTCATTGCTATCATGATTACTAATCCAGAATATCACAGCACTCATTTCCATTTAAGTTGCATAAATTTTAAGTATGCAGATTAGTCAGCTTCATGTAACAATAAACTTACCAGGTATTATCAAACGGATGATGAAATTCCACTCTCTTTCCTTTTGCATTTTGTCCCAACTTCTGCAATATCCAGTTATCATCCAAGAAGTCATCCATTGTATTGTCCCAAAATGAATTGGCGTCTCCGTCATGGCTTCTTTTTCCTAAGATACCAGAAGTCTTGAGTGGAAAATAAGGTCCAGATCCATCGGCAAATCTTCCACCAACTTTGGCAGGGAAATGAGTAGCTTCTGAGCTAACTTTCTTAATCTTTATTGAGTTACTTTCTTTTGACACAGAAACGAGAGCCAAAAGAAAAGTTACTAATAGAATAATAAAAATATGCTCCAAAAACTAAAAAATACAATCTTACCTTCTATCCCGGCCCCAACATAAAAAATAAACAAGTTACAACAGATCTTACCTGTTCCACCACCAAGTTTAGCTGCAGTGTCATTACTTTCTGAGTTTTCATTTTCTCTCAGCTGAGCCCGATCCTCATTACCTGATACACAAAGAACTGAAGAAGTACATACAAGAATATATTTCGATAAGGTAAATAATTTTATTAACGTGAAATTCTTCCATATACAAGAGTTATATGAAATAGTAGAGAATCTTCACCATATAAGAACAGGAGTATAGAGTATTGAAGTTAATTATTCTATCTCAAGAGATTTTGCTGACTTGATCAAGCAATCTAGATATTGAATTGAAAGAATTTTAGGGAACAAAAGATGCGAGAGTGCATCCAGAAGTCAAATTATAAATGAAAATTAGGAAACAACAGAAGTATTGCCACCTATCCATTTCGACAGTGTGTGTGGGTGGTGTTAAAATCAGAAAATAATAACAATATGCAGCATGAACTTTAATCAGTTTAGGTTTTTATTTTTATTTTTTTTAGGGTCATCAGCAGCTTTCGGACTCTTCAGCTGCAAGTACTCACACAGGAAAGAATCTGAATTATGCCAGAGTGTATCCATTAAGACATCAAAAGCAGTTTCAGCATCTTGAGACAAGGGAAGAAGTCTGTGAGTGAGATGAACATCAGTGCTACTCTTTTAAGATTTGTCAAGATCATAAAAAGAAAAATGTTTTGAACTACTGGCATACACTTCTATCATTGTTTAATTAATATTAACATTGAATTGTTAAACTTTGAGAAAGTGACTTGAAATCCCCCATTGCCTTACTTTCAAAGAATTTCCACTTAAGTCATGAAGAAGCAAAAAGAAAGAAAAAAACAAACTAACATCAGGTAACTTGATGACCAAAGCACACATTCCAAATATGCAAATAAGCAGCTAATTATCCAAGGAAAGGAGAAGAAATATACAGCATCAGTTTTAAATCCACAAAATATTTCTTATGCATTACAAGAACGTACATGAAAGATACTTTTATAAGAATCACAGTACTTCAGGATATTCCTTAGCCAATTTATATGTCCTTTCTATATAACCAAGCATATTAGAGATACTTATGACTTCTACTAACAAAAAGAAACCCAAGAATCACAATATTTAATGATATTCCATAGCCAACTTATATGTCCTTTCTTTATAACCGAAAAATCCTCGAGGGCCAGTGACATAAGGTTCAAAACTGTGGGAATAATGAGCACACCCATCTACCCTTCTTCACTTAAATATCAGGATTTTGTTGGCAGAAGGGTTTCACCCATGACATGATCTTAATCCACATATCACGAGATGCTCTCTTACCACTACAACTTATACATGAATTCCTTACCAATCATAGTTGAAAATCTCGAAGAAATAATAATGCACAGAAGAAAACTATAATCATCTTTGTCAATGGCACAACCTTTTGTCTGGATGAGATAACAATTTTGAAAACCGTAGCTTTTGTGTCATAAGCGATGCAAGCAAGTAGAAAAGCATATTTACAGTCATCAAACTCTACGGAGAAACCATAGTTTTAAAAAAAGATTCATACAAGTTAGAAAATGGAAAGAAAGAAGAACCCAAAAACGACATAGAATTTTTTTTATCATTTGGCCCCTTGGAGATCTTTGGCATGCTTTTTTGAATCCCAACATCATCCCCATCCAAATGCTGAGGCTTGCTATCATTCCTTTGGACTGTTCTCTTATCCATGTTTTCAGTAACCTCATCTATAAATTTGTGATATTTGATCCCTGCCTCATTAAATGAACATATACCTTCTGTTAAGCTACCAACAGGAGAAGAAAAGTTATTCAGTTCACCATAGGCCTGCAATTCATCATTCTTGACATCACCAGCAATATATCCACCAGATAGAGCATCAGGATGTCCATTTTGTCCAGCTAACCCCTTCTCCTCACCAGAATCTTTTCCACATTCCTTGCTCTTTTGGGGATACTTGTCAACTAAACAAGTAGGAGAAAACTTTAAGGATAGTTTATGTTGATAATCCACTAGAGGAGCACTATTTTCATCCTCTGAAAAGGGTGAAATAGAAAATATTTCATCATCAACAGGCAACCCAGCTCCTGCCCTCAAAGTTGCAATTAAATCCCCATCAGCTACATCTCTCCTCTTCCAAAGCTCCGGAACAGCATTGTTAAGATTTATCGACTGAGAACATCAAAAGAGAACTATCAGGATTGAGTTCTCGATTAACTTTTCTAGTGAAATTAATCACTGCCGTAAACACACCTTATAATTATCTCCGCGGCATGTTGGACATGAATACGGCAAATCATCCACTTGAAACTGCAAATATTTTTCATCACTGCAAAGCAAATACCCATTTCAAATTAAAACATCCACTGGAGTCCCTCTCTCAAAGCTCAAGTGGAAGAACGATCGAAGTTGCATAAGTTAACAGTTTTATATCGCATGAATGACAGGTGAGCAAATTGGCCGACCACAAATATTCAGAATATTTATATAGTGAAGGGAAGAAGAGAACTATCTGGAAATGAAAACTAGATCCCTGTCAAATGACTTGAATCTTAACATGCAGAATGCAGCATAAACAGCAGTCCCCAAAATGCCATTCGATCATTCAATGAAACAATAAAAGTCAATTGGGAATGATGAGACTATTCTTGGAAACACTGTCCTTAATTCGAGTTTAAGAACGCGAAAAAAGTTCTGAGTTCAGTGTTTCTCTTGTTCAATTAAATCTTATATGTACTCATTAATTCATTTCAATAATTATTCCAGAAAAAAGATTCATTTCGATAACTATTTCAGGATATTTTTTCAAATTCTTCATTTGAAATAATCATAAATCTTCTGAATTGCTCCAAAAAGAAATTACTCAAATATAATAAAAAAACTTTCCTATAAAGAATCAAATATAATTGATCTATCCATTTGCCATTTATTTCCAAGTTCATCTAGTCAATGCAAGACTAACAAGCCGACACAATATGTCATCTGACTTTAACTGTGGTAGTTTGAAATCAACATTTGGAATTTTTTTTTTTTTGGTAACCAATGTAAATTACCATTAACAAAACAAAAAACCAAATACACCTAAAGAGCACTCAATCCCCTTATCACCCTCTAAGAAAGGTATTAAGAGAGTTAAGCCTCATATGGAACTCTAATTACACAAATCTCTCCAACAACCAACTATACTTCTATATTTACTCGCCTTTCTAGACCGTTAAACTACCTCAAGTCTATCTACAAATTCCTTCTTAATTTGTGTCACAGACATATCTGTATTTATAGTGATGCCTTTAAACAATTTCCAGTTCCTTGCTCTCCAAACATGGTATATCATTGCTCCGCACAATGCAGCGATAAGTTCCTTGTGAAACTGTTTCCAATTCTTCCTTCTGAGTCTATTTAGAATATGTTTGACAGTTCCAGCAGGAATAAGTGTTCCAGACCCAACGTTGCGTTTCAGCTTGGACTCTCACTATCCATTCACAAGTAGAGAACAAGTGAATATGGGTCACATAAGTCATTTACATACTGATACTTTACGGGTGACCTCCTACTCATTATTCTTATTTTAAGATTAACTATTACCCCCTTCTCAAGAGAACACCAAATTTATGTATAAGTGTTATTATACAAGCGCCTGACACTGTATAATATATATATTTTAAAAAAATTCAACTTATTAGTCATTATTTTAATTTTTTCACATTTTCCCCTTCTTCTTCCTTCTTTTTCTACTTCATATTATTTTTTAATTTCCATTGCAACTTTGGATTGCACAATCAGGAAAAACCTGCAGAAACAAATCAATTCAGATAGTCCTATGTGGCTTTGGTGGCGACTAGAATAATGCATTATTTCTTCAAGAGAAACTCCCATCGAAGTTCAATAATGAGAAGCACCACACACAAAAACCATGACTCATAATTGAAAGAGCTTCTGATAGAAACGAGGTTTTTTAGGGGATAAAAGCAAGAGAAAATACAAAGAGAGACACAAGTATCTTGTGTCTCGTAGAACAACAAAAAATATAAACAGACAAGTATCTCGTTTTCCTTAGAACAACCTTTTCTGCATATAAAAGATATGCTACACCATGTCTACTTCTTACTACATTTCCTATTATATAATAAATAACTATAACTACTTCATAACTATTTAGGATAAGGATAGATAACTTCTAGCAACCATAAGGAACTGTCGAATTACTACTAATAACTGTAAGAAACCGCTCAATGTCCATGGGTGGAACCTCTAGGAATTTGAGAAAATGCAAATCATTATCTTCACCCAACTTTCTTTGCTTCTTCCTCCTTGAATAAGTATGGAAGATGTGTGCCTTATCAGCTCTATTGTATCTTGTATCCGATATTTCAAGATAAAGATCTGAAAAGGTTGTTTTGAACAATATTTAAGAAAGAGAGAATACCCACCTTGCCAGGAAACATGATGGCTGAAGGACAAATTTTCTTTCAAAGAAATCTATGAACTTTTCAGCATTTCATTCAATATCAAACCCTAGAAAGAAAACTATTTACAGATGAAGAAAGAAGAAAAGAAAATGGTGCAGGGGAAAACGGAGATAGTGCATGTCGGGTTAAGTTGACCAAGAAACCGAAGGTGTAGGAAAACGAAAAGAAAGAGAAAAGGAAGAAAAGAGAAAAAAGGGAAAAGAATCTTAAAAAACCACAATTCATAGGACTATATTAATCAAGTATAATTGATTATATTTGGGAAAATACCCAAGTACTCCCTCAACCTATGCCCGAAATTCCAGAGACATACTTATACTATACTAAGGTCCTATTACCCCCCTGAACTTATTTTATATGTAATTTTCTACCCCTTTTTAGCCTACATGGCACTAGTTCGAAAAAAAATTCAACCATCGTTGGGCCCACAAGACAGTGCCACGTAAGCTAAAAAGGGGTAACAAAATATTAATAAAATAAGTTAAGGGGGTAATAGGATCTAAGTATAGTATAAGTGTGTCTCTGAGATTTCGGGCATAGGTTGAAGGGGTACTTGGGCATTATTCCATTATATTTCAACTAATAAAAAGATGACACCTGTACTGTTATAACCATTTATAGTGTTTCTTTCCTCTTCTCACGTGCTCTCAAGAAGTTGGTCACACTTTCTTTGTCACATCACCTTTTAGGAGGATATTAGTTCCACTTCAAACAAGATTAGGGAGCTTTAGGTCGCAAGTAAAGTTTAAGTGTGTAAAAAACTTTTTTGGACAACCACATGATGTAACTTGTGACTTTTCCGAACAAACAATTATGTAAATTAAGAAATATATTATTTAAGTATACTGAATTATGTTTTGGGCCTAACTCAGACCCCAAAAGCTAGCTCAAGAGAATTGTCCAAGACTTATGAGTAGACCACCTATCGCACCTAACCACCGATGTGGGAATTTAATCATTCTTCACCCCAGTGTTGAACATGTGGATTTTAATTTGGGGTAACATTGAGTGAGATTGGTTTTGCTATGATACCACGTAAAGTTTGAGATTGGTTTTGCTATGATACCACGTAAAGTTAAGTCTTGGGCCTAGCTCATCTTTTAGGAAATGTTTTACTTCAAACAAAAGTGGGGGATATTAGGTCGTTCGTAGAGTTAAGGTGTGTAAATATGATAGAACCGAGATTTTTTACTAGATAAAAAAATGAAAAGGTAACATTATGTATATTCATTGAACTAGTGCTTGGGTTGCACTAAACCATATTTACAGCTTGTCAAGAAGTAAGAAAACTGAACCCTAACAGGAACCTAGGATATCTATAATGGATTCGGTGTCCTCTAAATACATTTGCTTGCTTAGTCTGATCATTTGAAGATCACAAGTCTTACTCTCAAAAAATCCAGCATTTCTTTCTTTCCAAACAATCCACCAAATACAAACTGGGACAATCCTCCATCTATCTCTATCTGCAGCTCCCGCCCCCACTTCTCCCAACTGTATAAAAGATGCGTAATTTTGTTAGGCATAGCCCAAGCAAAACCCCTGAGCCTAATGAAAATTCTCCATAGCTGGGATGTTATTCTGCACTAGAGAAACAAATGATTGACCGTCTCAACTTCTTCCCACATAAATAGCATTTTGAACACATGGAGAACTTCCTTTTCTTAAGATTTTCATATGTTAAAATTGCTTCTCTTGCCATAAGCCAAGTGAAACATGACACCTTGAAAGGATTTTAGGTTTCCAAATCTGCTTCGAATGCTAAAGAAAAGGTTGTTGTCCATCTTGATTTAGCAACTTATATGCAGAGTTTACCTTGAATGTGCCTTTGTTATTTATGCTCCATAAGCTATCATGTTCATCCTTGTTTCTGTAAAAGCTTCCAGCCTTCCAAAAAAATCAGTCACGGTCTTGATTTTACCAACATTGAAATTCCTTCTGAACTGGAAATTCCATCCATGCTGTGTCCAAACCTCAACTACACTCCCTTATTTATTCACTGCCAAGTCATGCATCTCTGGAAGGATACTTTTCAAGCTAAAGTTGCCCAACCATTTATCCTCCCAAAATGAAGTATTGATGTCATTTCCTACCCTGATGGTCGTATTGATCTTCAAGAGAGGCCACAAGATTCTGATGGACTTCCATAGGCTTACCCCATATTGTGTAAGGACCTCCTTTGTCATCCACTTGTTCTCCTATCCATATTTTGCTAGAATCACTTTTTCCCATAATAGTTGAGGCTCTTAATAATACCTCCCTAACCACTTTAGTCTAAGGGCTTTGCTCTACTTTTTTAAATTCCTTACACTAAGACCCCCATGTTTCGTCCCCCAGAGAAACTTGTAACACCTGACAAAATGTTTGACAGTGGAATCATTTTCCTTTGTCCCTTTCCATAAGAAATCCCTCCTATTTTATCAAGTCTTTGTATCACCCCGTTAGGAATAGGGAAGATGGACATCATGTAAGTAGGTAAGACATCCAAAATTGAATTAATGACAGTGACTCTGCCTCACAAAAAAAATATATTGAGATTTCCATCTGGTAAGCTTTTTCTCACACTTTCAAATCACTTGGTTCCATATGTTCAAAGCCTTTGATTTGGCACCTAAGGGCATGCCCAGATAAATGGTAGGTTAAGACCTACTTTCCCTCCCAAAATCCAAGATAGTTCCTCCATATTAGAGACATTATTAATAGGATACAACTGACTCTTTCTCCAGTTGATATGCAAACATGAGACTCCTTCAAATAGCACCAAGATTGATCTTAAAACCTATAGTTATAGCTCATTAGCATCAAAAAATATTAAGGTGTCATTTGCATACCATAAATGGGTGACTTCCATGTTGCCATTTGATATTGAGGTTTGAGTTTTGGCTACCTCAAAACCCTTGAGGCATTTGTTTTCTCTGGCCACCTTTATCATGTTATTTAGGCCCTCCATAACAATGATAAAAAGGAAAGGAGATAGGGGATCTCCCTTCCTCAGACACCTTTTAGTGTCCCCTCTAAGCAGGGGAAAAACCTTCTGGTGCACCATTTATAAAGGACTGAGAATCTGACAGTAGAGATGCATTACTTGATCCACTGAATCCACCTCCTTCCAAAACCCATACATGCAAACATCTTCAAAAAAACTTCCAGTTCACATGGTCATATGCCTTTTCTATGTCCAGTTTGCACATATTCCTGTCTTTTATTTTTTATTTTTTTTTCTTTATGTCGGTGTTGTGGTAAAATCAACACCACCACAAGGCTCAGATAGCTCCCCACGACCAAACCCCAACCAAAATCAGCGGAAAATATCAACCCAGGTGCTCTCACGCGCCGATCGAAGGTTGTAATTTCCGATGAGATATGGTTCACGCATCAGCGCGTGAGGGCTGTTCCAATCAGACCCATATAGTTTTATCCAGATCCGATCACCGAAATTAGGGTTCCAGTGATTCTCACGCAGTTTCCGGCGAAATCAGATTACTGTAGGGCAGTTTCCGGCAATATCCTAGCAAAATCAGAAGTTTCAGGCCACTATGGGTAGATTCCAGCAGCTTCAAATATTTTCAGACTAGTGTAGCATTTTCCGACAGTTTCCAGCGTACATACCAATCTATGGAGAATAGACGAGGGAGAGAACGTTTTGGAAAATTTCGATCCAAGTATAGTCATTGTCATAAACTTGAACACACTCGTGACATATATTATATTTTGCATGGTGCACCACCCAATTATGATCCTATTGTTTTAAAGGAACATAATGAATTCCTTCGAAAACGCACAAGTAAACAAACGTCTCCACAAGTAGTTTCGATTGCCTAACCTGATGTTTCTGTTGCGGATAATTCTTTTACTTGTGCGTCACAGTAGCACCCTTGGATCATGGGTCATAGACTAGGGGGCTTTTGATCAAATCTCTAGTAATAAATCACTTTTGTATGATATTGTTTATTAACAATCTCTTCCAGCTATTACTTTAGCCAATGTGATCTAAACAAAACCAAAAGGGGTTGGAAAAGCCAAACCCGTATCTTCTGTCGCCCTAGACTTTGTCCTTTATGTCCTTGGTTCTCTTTTTAATCTAACATCGGTCTGTCGTTTGACGAAAGCCCTACAACACACGACAGACGATTGGTAACAGGACATGTTAACAAGGCCGTTACTATCTTACCTCTTCCAATTCCTTAACATCATGCTCCATTACTGATTCCCCAGATCTAATTTACAAACGTTTGGGACATCCAAGTCTATCCAAAACGCAAAAGATGGTGCCTAGTTTGTCTAGTTTATCCATATTAGATTGTGAGTGGTGTCAACGTGGAAAAACACTCGTGCTACATTTTCACGTAGTATTGAGGATCGTTTAGAGTCTATTTTTTCATTAATTCATTCTAATATTTTGCGGTCCTAGTAGAGTCAGTTCCACCTAAGGATTTTGTTAGTTTCATCGATGATTATTCAAGTGCACTTGGGTTTTCTTAATGAAAGATTGTTCTGAGTTATTTTCTATATTCAAAGGTTTCTTTGCTGAAATACAAAATCAGTTTGGTGTTTCTATTCGTACTTTTCATAGTGATAATGCCTTAGAATACTTATCATCCTAGTTTCAAGAATTTATGTCTCAGGAAGGAATTATTCACCAAACATCTTATCTATACACTCCTCAGCAAAATGGTGTCGCAAAAAGAAATTATAGGTATCTCATAAAGACTGCTCGCACTCTCCTAATTGAATCCCATGTCCACTGCATTTTTGGGGCGATGCAGTCCTTTCATCTTGTTATTTAATTAACAGGATGCACTCTTCTTCTATTCAGAATCAGGTTCCACATTCCATACTGTTTCCTTAGTCACATCTTTATCCTATCCCCCCTCGTGTCTTTGGGAGCACATGCTTTGTTCATAATTTAGCCCCAGGGAAAGATAAATTAGCTCCTCGTGCCCTCAAAAGTGTCTTTCTTGGTTACTATAGAGTTCAAAAAGGGTATCGTTGTAATTCACATGATTTTCATCGATACCTTATGTCCGCTGATGTTATATTTTTTGAGTCTCAACCTTACTATACATCTTCTGATCATCTTGATGTATCTATGGTCTTACCCATACCTCAGGTTTTACCCGTGCCAACCTTTGAGGAATCTACGTTTACTTCTACATTTCTAGTTGTAGTGTCGCCACTACTAACTTATCATCGCCGTCCACGTCCAACCCTAGTCACAGATGATTCATGTCATGTGCCAGGCCTTACTCCTACCGGGGACTTGCCTCCTTCTAGCCAACGACTTGCACTTCAAAAAGGTATACGATCCAATTGAAATACTAACCCACATTACCTAAAACTATAGGTGAAACACTTTCTCATTCTGGATGGTTTATAAAAATAACACCAATAAACAACTTTGAACCATCAGACGAAGAAACCCATTTGGCATCTTTGGTTTAGATAAGAGAGAGTAGATAGAAGAGTGATGATAAAAAGAAAAAAAGAAGAAGAGAAAATAAAAAAAAATATAAACAAATAATACAAAAATAAAAGAATGTAGTACCAGGTAACTGGGCACGCTGTGTGAAAGGCCATACCCAAGATACAGATCTTGGTGTATGAGGAATTTTTGAAGAGTTCAAATTGGGAAAAACCCCTTTGAAGGGAAAAGAAAGAGAGAAAGAGAGGAAGTGGAGGGGGCGTTACTTGTGATTGTAATGTTTGTGGGTGTTTGGGGTTACACACGTTTGTTTATAAGGTGAGGCAAAATTCACATTTGGCCCATTGAAGTTTTCAAAGTGCTTATACAATCCATGATTGTTTGTTTTAAAATGAAAAAAGGTCATAAATTCAAAAAAGGAAAAAGTTTTATTAGGAGAGGAGAAACTTCCAGAAAAATACATATGGTCATTGTGAGTACATTTTCATGATTTATTTGACCATAAATTTGATCAGATTTAGAAAATCTGGCTTTAAAATATTTTCACGTTCCCACCAATTTTTGGGCTTTTTGTGACATGGCTAATACTACGAGTCAAGTGGTCATGAATTTGCTTCTAGTTCATAGTTACAAGTTCTTGTCAGCTGTCTAAGATCTACTATAAAGTCCAAGCAATTACAAGGTCAGCATAGTCCTCCTTGGAAATATAGGAGCTCAATTTTGATGATTTCCTTGAAGCAAGGCTGGGACATAAAAATGGAGTTGTAACTTACAAGACAAAAGAAAGAGAACAAGTAAAAATCAAGAGATTGATCATTGAAGAATTGATTTTTGATGCTCATTTCCTTTGAGGAAGGGAAAATTTGAATATCTTACATAGTTCACAGTATGAATCATGCTCACCAAGTCCAATTCTGCATACTCACGGGAACATTTGTATTTGCAGCAATTATGCACATGGCCTCCACAACAAACTTCCCTTGTAGAAGTTGTAAATATATCAGAGCAAGTATATAGATAAATAATATATTTGATGTATCAAGCAAACAAATCTGAACCTTTGGATGAAGCATGAGGCACACACCAAAACACCCATATCACGCTACTCAGGGTCTAGAGAAAAAGTATCAGTTTTTCAGACCCAAAACTGATACTTGTTTTTATCGATTTCAAAAAAAAAAGGTACCAGTTTTGGGTCTAAATAAAAGCAAGAAACGCATATTTTTAGATAGGAAAAGCAGAATGGACTTAAAATTAGTTTCAAGCCATATGAAGTTGCCAGTTGTGTTACTTTCGTTAAGATCTCCAAATTATTTTCCCCAATTTGAAGCACTATAGGATATTGTTTAGGGACATATGCCTAGTATTTATCCCAGTATATTAGAAAAATGACATGAATGTCAGATCTTACTGCAAAATACAAACAGACAAGCATTAGACAGTGACAAACTGCTCTTAAAGGTCCAAGCCGCAAGCGCAATAACATATCAGTACAAGAAAATTCCTCTATGAGATTTTATTTTTTTCTTCTTTTACCTTTTGATGACCTTGGTGTCCGAACCAGCCATCACGGACCTTGACTAATTCAATGAGAAATTTGCCACCTATCACCAGCAACAGGCAACTCTGTCCACCAAGGTTAGAACAGATGGGAAGGATCACCTAGTTTTTCTTGTCTCCACTGTGTTTTGAACAAGATAGCTCAGGGTTCTCAACCACTTCTTTGACCACTATGTCACACCCTGGGTGCAATTCTTTTTGCAGATTTAACCATGTTACAATAATATATCATATAGGTTCCCTTCTTTGTTAAGTATTTTATACCAACGAAATAAATATTCCTTTGCTAGGAAATCATCTAACAGGGACAAGGGTCTTAGTTTAGGGAAACGAAGACCCAACTCACACCCCAAAAGCTAGCTCAAAGCGATGTGAAATTAGATCTTAGGCCTAACTCACACCCAAAAGTTTGCTCAAAGGGAGGATGATGGTCTAAGCCGTATAAGGAGTCCACCCATCTCATTAACCACCGATGTGGGACTTTTGTCATTCTTTAATACCCCACCTCACGCCCAATCTTAAAATCTGGTGCGTGGACAATTTTTGATATAGGGGGTCCCACATCGGGTGAGACGGGCCCTGCTATGGTACCATGTGAAATTAGATCTTAGGCCTAACTCACACCGCAAAGTTAGCTCAAAGGGAGGAAGATTGTCCAAACCTAATAAAAAGTTCACCCATTTCATTAACAATCAATGAGACTTTTGTCATCCTTTAACACCCCACCTCACGCTAGTGCTCAGCATTTGGTGAGTGGACAATTTTAATTTCGGGGGTCCCAATATCGGGTGAGACGGGCCCTACTCTAATACCATGTGAAATTAGATTTTAGGCCTAACTCACACCACAAAAGCTAGCTTAAAGAGAGGAGGATTGTCCAAGCCTTATAAGGAGTCCACCTATTACATTAACTGCAGATGTAGGACTTTTGTCATTCTTTAACACCTCAACTCAAGCCCAGTGCTTAGCATCTGGTGCGTGCACAATTTTAGTTTTGAGGGTTCCAACATCGGGTGAGACAGGCCCTGCTCTGATACCATGTGAAATTAGGTCTTAGGCCTAACTCACACCCCAAAAGCTAGCTCAAAGGGAAGAGAATTGTCTAAGTCTTATAAGGAGTCCACCCATCTCATTAACCACCGATGTGAAACCTTTGTCATTCTTTAACATCCTACCTCGCGCCAGTGCTTAGCATCTGGTGCGATTTTGATTTTGGGGGCCTCAAAATCGAGTGAGACGGGTCCTGCTCTGATACCATGTGAAATTAGGTCTTAGGCCTAACTCACATCCCAAAAGCTAGCTTCAAGGGAGAAGGATTGTCCAAGCCTTATAAGGAGTCAACTCATCTCATTAACCATCGATGTGGGACTTTTGTCATTCTTTAACAATATCCAATAAATTTGGTTAACTCGACCCTTCAAAGACAACCCAAAATAGTAATTGATATAAAAACTGTACGATTCATCAATTTAGAAAATCAAATACAAGTGTCAGGTGCCATCAATAGAATTGTTAGATGTGAGCTTCTCTTTGTAGAAGGTTGGTTTATATCATGTCATAAGTAGGCATATAACCAAGAAGGTCTACTAAAAGGGACAAACTAATTAGTCAATTAGGTAGGAGTCCTTCAGGTTTTAAAAAATAGGTAGAAGTGACAAATAGTATAAATTAGGTTAAAATATATCTTTTCAATAGTCCCAAACTTTTAATTTTTACACTTTAGTCCAACAACTGTTGTAGTTGTGGGGACAACTTCTTTAGTTGTCCGACAACTTCCAAAGTTGTCCAGACAACAACAACGAAGGATGTTCTTAGTTTACTCCTTCTATTAATAATAAAGAAAAGTTCAAAAAAAAAAAGTAAAGGAGCCCACTTGTCCTATTTTATTAATTGGAAACCTTTAAGGCGCTTTTAGCACATTTTTCCCATATAACCACATAGACATTTTCTAAAATATTTTCCTTTTATCATGAAAATTGGGGCTGGCAGCAAGAGGATCAAGTTTAATTTATGCACATTCAGCGAAAAAATCAACCGGTACAATTGACTAAATTATCATATATGAGTTAAAATCTTCGGTAATTGTAAGCTTTTATATACTATATAGCCCAGTAAATGTTGATTTCTTTCTCATTTCGTTTTGTCTAGTATAAGAACAAAGGATTGACTCGCATGATTCTCTTCTTTTTTTTTAGCTCTAGTTATCAGTAAGAAACAAAAGGGTATTTTATAGTTGGGTACAAAAGCACAAGATTCTTATTCCATGCAGCAGAACTTTACCAAATTGCCAGACTGGTAGACAGTTGTTTCGTCACCAAACATTTCTGGGAATAGCCACGTCTTCCTTCAGATGAGACGGGCCAAAGTTCTATAATGGTTATCAGTCCATTTCATCATGGGAGCATCACTGTTTAAATACAGAGGCTTATAAATATTAGGGAGCATTTATTATTAGTACTTTCAAGTAAAAAATTAATATGGAGCTTATTAACCATGTAAAGAGAGAAAATTAGACTTGAAATGTATGCACGCACCTGAACCAAGGAGGAGAATAGTGCTCTGCCAAAATTAGAGAAGTAGAGTGGAGTTTTGATGATAAGCACAGAATGTCTTGCTTGAACTTCCATAAAAAAGAAGTCTCATGACAATCTGCCAAGGGTTCTGAGAATAACAGAAGACAATCTTCCATTGATTTCTGCCTCCCTCAAAGTCCAGCGCAGGCTGCTCTTTTATGAACCTACCCATTGGATAGGAATTGGCATCACACAAGAGGACATACTATATACTAGCCACAGAGGCACTTTGAAACATTTACCAAAATAGATAATTAACTGAACCAATAAAGACCTGAAGCCACCTAGCTCACTATAGAAACAAAAAAAAAAAAAAACTCGGGTCATTAGATGAAGGATGAACTGCTAGGAACTAGAAAGTTAAAACACAGGCTCTACTAACTGAATAATTTTATTTATTTTACAGGTGCTGTAGGTATTGCCTAGAAGACTGGAAAATCCACCCTCACAAGTTAGAAAGAGAAGCTCCAAAGACAACTAAAACATTTGAAGTACGATTCCAGCATTTATCTTGCGGGTAAGAAAAAAGCTCTAGACGCTTAGAAGGCAGAATGATGCACTTCAACATTTAAAATACAAATGTTTAAACTCATTAGCTTTTCGGAGCAATCTGAAAAAACTAAATTGATATAGATGCTATGATGGATCTCCTTGGCTCGGGCATGGATACGAGAGAGATTTGATCATTTACAGCCTTCTTGATAACCAGGACTCACCTGGTGTGTTTTAGTTAATCAATATTATTATCAATCAACGAGGAACTACATCTCAACCCTAAGCTTGTCAAGGTTAGCTATTTGAATCCTCTATGATAATAAAATATTGTTTATAAGCAAATAATTGACATTCTCTATTTTAACCATCCCAAAAAATTTCACAATATTCCACCAGTCATATACAGTTATCCCATTTAAAGTGACGTCATTGAACTGGAAATGGAGTTCATTAATTATGGTAACTGATTAAATAATGTAGATATGAGAGTATTTAAACATGGTATAATTAGATAGTGTAGATCACAGAATATTTAAATCAAAACCAAGTTTGAAATTTGAATGTTAAACGTTCTACAACTCATGCTCATTCAGATAATGACAAAGGAGATGGGATAGTTCACGAATTGCTCGAGAAAGAGAAAAAGAACCCATAAAAATTCGATCTTTTTGAGTTTTCTCCATATAATCTACCCTTTCCAGCTTCCACCAAAATTAAATAGCTCTTAAATAACTTCTCCTATTTTTTCCATTGCTTACTATCTTAATCATATTCTGGATATCCAAAATCTCAGAACCACCCAATTCCCACATTTAGCTCTTCCCTTCTAACAGATCACAAAATGGAGAAAGCAATGTCGCGTCCATCCATAAAGAGAAAGATAGCAGATCCTCCAGCTATACGAAAAAAATAGCCGAATCCCACACCCAAAAACGCTGGATGGTATAAATATAACATCAGTAAACAACTACGAACCATAAGACAAAGAAACCCATTTGGCATCCTTGGTCTAGAACACTAATAATAAAAAAAAGGAGAGAATAAACAAAACTATACACAAATAATACAAAAATAAAAGAACATAGTACCAGGTAAATGGGCACGCTGTGTGAAAGGCCATACCCAAGATAAAGATCTTGTTGTATGAGGAATTTTTGAAGATTTCAAATTGGGAAAAACCCTTTGGGGGAAAAGAGAGAGAGAAAAAGAGAGGAAGTGTTGGGGGCGTTACTTGTGATTGTGATGTTTGTGGGTGTTTGGGGTTTCAGTGGTTTGTTTACAAGGTGAGGAAAAAATCACATTTGGCCCATTGAAGTTTTCAAAATGTTGATCGAATCCATGATTGTTCGTATCGAAGTGAAAAAATGTCAAAAATTCAATAAAGATGAAAGTTTTATTAGGAGAAGAGAAACTTCCAGAAAAATACATATGGTCATTGTGAGTACATTTTATTGATTTATTTGACCATAAAATTTGGTCAGATTTAGAAAATCTGGTTTTTAAATGTTTTCAAATTCCCACAAATATTTGGGCTTTTTGGGACATGGCTAATACTACGAGTCAAGTGGTCATGAATATTCTTCTAGTTCATAGTTGCAAGTTCTTGTCAGCTGCCTAAGATCTACTATAAAGTCCAAGCAGTTACAAGGTCAGCAAAGTCCTGCTTGGAAATATATTATAAAGAAACTAAAGGAGCTCAATTTTGATGATTTCCTTGAAGCAAGGCTGGGACATAAAAATGGAGTTCTAACTTACAAGACAAAAGAAAGGAACAAGTAAAAATCAAGAGATTGATCATTGAAGAATTGATTTTTGATGCTCATTTCCTGAGAGGAAGGGAAAGTTTGAAAACCTTACATAGTTCACAGTATGAACATGCTCATTAATTCCAATTCTGCATTTGAAACTCACGAGAACATTTGTATTTGCAGCAATTATGCACATGGCCTCAGCTACAAACTTTCCTTGAAGAAGTTGTGAATATATCAGAGCAAGTATATAGATAAATAATATATTTGATGTATCAAGCAAACAAATCTGAACCTTTGGATCAAGCATGAGGCACACACCAAAACACCAATATCATGCTACTCAGGGGCTAGAGAAAAAGTCAGTTTTTTATAACCCAAAAACTGATAAATTCTTTTTATCAATTTCAAAAAAAAAAAGCATCAGTTTTGGGTCTGAATAAAAGCTAGAAACGCATATTTTAAGATGGGAAAAGCAGAACGGACTTAAAATTAGTTTCATCAAAGCCATATGAAATTGCCAGTTGTGTCGCATTAGTTAAGATCTCCAAATTATTTTCCCCAATTTGAAGCACTATAGGATATTGCTTAGGGACATATGCCTAGTATTTATCCCAGTATATTAGAAAAATCCCATGAATGTCAAATCTCACTGCACGATACAAACAAACAAGCATTGGAGAGTGACAAACTGCTCTTAAAGGTCCAAGCCGCAAGTGCAATAACATATCAGTGCAAGAAAATTCCTCTATGAGATTTTATTTTTTTTCTTCTTTGAACTTTTGATGACCGAGGTGTCCGTACCAGCTTTCATGGACCTCGACTAATTCAATGAGAAATCTGTCACCTCTCATCAGCAGCAGGTAACTCTGTCCACCAAGGCTAGGACAGATGGGAAGGATCATCTAGTTTTTCTTGTCTCCACTGTGTTTTGAACAAGATAGCTCAGGGTTCTCAACCACTTCTTTGACCACTAGGTCACACCCTTGGGTGCAGTTCTTTTTGCAGATCTACCCATGTTACAATAATATATCATCTAGGTTCCCTTCTTTGCTAAGTATTTTACACCAACGAAATAAATATTCCTTTTCTAGGAAACCATCTAACAGGGACAAGGGTTTTAGTTTAGGGAAATGAAAATAACTAACAAATTTGGTTAACTTGACCCTTGAAAGACAACCCAAAGAGCCTATAGTAATTGATATAAAAACAGTATGATTCACCAATTTAGAAAATCAAATACAAGTGTCAGGTGCCATCTATAGAAGTGTTAACTGTAAGCTTCTCTTCGTAGAAGGTCGGTTTAGATCATGTAGAAAGTAGGCATATAACCCGGGAAGGTCTATTAAAAGGACAAACTAATTAGTCAATCAGGTAGGAGTCCTTCAAGATTTAAAAATTACGTAGAAGTGACGTAGTGTAAATTAGGTTAAAATATATTTTCTCAATAGTCCAAAACTTTTAACTGTTACACTTTAGTCCAACAGCTGTCTCGTAGTTGTGAGGACAACTTCTTTAATTGTCCAAAAACTTCTGTAGTTGTCAAAACAACTTTAGTAGTTGTCCAGACAACAACGAAGGATGTTCTTAGTTTACTCCTTTTAATATTAAAAATAAAAAAAAGTAAAAAAAAAGTAAAGGAGCCATATTGTCCTATTTTTTTAATTGGAAACCTTTAAGGCACTTTTAGCACATTTTCCCCATATAACCACATAGACATTATCATGAAAATTGGGGCTGGCAGCAAGAGGATGAAGATTAAAGAAAGTAACATTGGTCACCACATGACTTAAAACAAATGGGAAAAATAAAATCATAGGATATTTTGATTTATGCACATTCAGAGAAAAAATCAACCGGTATAATTGATTTAAATTATCATATACGAGTTTAAATCTTTGGTAATTGTAAGCGTTTATATACTATATAGCATAGTAAATTTTGATTTCTTTACCATTTTGTTTTGTCTAGTATAAGAACAAAGGATTACTCGCATGATTCTCTTCTCTTTTCTTAGCTCTAGTTATCAGTAAGAAACAAAAGGGTATTTATAGTTGGTACAAGAGCACTAGTCTTACTCCATGCAACAGAACTTTACCAAATTGCCAGACTGGTAGACAGTTGTTTCGTCAGCAAGCATTTCTGGGTAGAGCCACGTCTTCCTTAAGATGAGACAGGCCAAAGTTCTGTATTGGTTATCAGTCCATTTCATCATGGGAGCAACACTGTTTAAATACAAAGGCGTGTATATATTAGGGAGCATTTTTTATTAATACTTTTAAGTGAAAAAAATAATATGGAGCTAATTAACCATGTAGAGAGAGAAAATTAGACTTGAATGTATGCACGCACCTGAACCAAGGAGGAGAATAGTGCTCTGCCCCATTAGAGAAGTAGAGTGGAGTTTTCATGATAAGCACACAATGTCTTGCATGAACTTCCATAAAAGAAGTCTGATGACAATCTGCCACGGGTTCTTGAGAATAACAGAAGACAATGTCCCGTTGATTTCTTCTTCCCTCAAAGTCCAGAGTAGGCTGCTCTTTTATGAACCTACCCATTGGATAGGAGTTGGCATCACACAAGAGGACATGCTGTATACCCCACAGAGGCACTTTGAAACACTTACCAAAATAGATAATTAACTGAACCAATGAAGACCTGAAGCCACCTAGCTCAATATAGAAACAAAAAATACTTGGGTCATTAGATGAAGGATGAACTGCCAGGAACTAGAAAGTTAGAACACAAGCTCAACTAACTGAACAATTTTATTTATTTTACAGGTGATGTAGGTATTGCCTAGAAGACTGGAAAATCCACCCTCACAAGTTAGAAAGAAGAGAAGCTCCAAAGATAACTAAAACATTTGAAGTACAATTCCGGCATTTATCTTGCGGGTAAGAAAAAAGTTCTAGACGCTTAGAAGGCAGAATGATGCACTTCAACGTTTAAAATACAAATGTTTAAACTCATTAGCTTTTCGGGGCAATCTGAAAAAACTAAATTGATATAGATGCTATGATGGATTTACTTGACTCGGACACGGATACAAGAGAGCTTTGATCATTTATAGCCTTCTTGATAACAAGGACTCACTTGGTGTTGTTTTAGCTAATCAATTATTATTATCAATCAACGTGGAACTACATCTCAACCCTAAGCTTGTCAAGGTTAACTATTTGAATCCTCTATGATAATAAAATATTGTTTATAAGCAAATTATTGACATTCTCTATTTTAACCATCCCAAAAAAATTTCACAATAGTCCACTAGGCATATACAGTTATCCCATTTAAAGTGACGTCATTGAACTGGAAATGGAGTTCATTAATTATGGTAACTAATTAAATAATGTAGATAAAGAATATTTAAACATGGTATAATTAGATAGTGTAGATCACAGAATATTTAAATCAAAACCAAGTTTAAAGTATGAATGTTAAAACGTTCTACAACTCATGCTCATTCAGATAATGACAAAGGAGATGGGATAGTTCACGAATTGCTAGAGAAAGAGAAAAAGAACCCATAAAAATTCGATCTTTTTAAGTTTTCTCCATATTTCCACCAAAATTTCCATTACAATAAACGACATTAGGTAACTCAAGAACGAAACAAGCAAAACTAGCATTAAATAAAAAAGGGAAAAACACAATATTAATAAATTAGGTAACTCAAGAACGAAACAAGAACAGCTAATATGAAATTAAAAAGGGCAAAGCACAATATTAATATATTTAACTAAGAAGAATGAATAATATAAAACCCAGCATATGTACAAAAGATTAAAATTGGATTTAGGGGTTTACATGGAAACAGAGAGATGATGCTTCACTTACTTCTGAGCTGAATACAGTGGCAGTTGGAGAAGACGATCCCAATAAAATAGTGAGGTTATATATATATATTTTATTTTATTTTCTACTTTCTTTTTCTGAATAAATTTCTAAACATGAATTTATTACTCATAATATATTCTTTATATTGAAATCATCTAAGATAAAATAAGTTAATAATAAGGTATCAAATCAAAAGTGAGTTAAAAGCAAAGATATTTCTCTTTTCGGGGGATTTGAATATAAAATATTTCATTACTAAAAAACATCTTTTTATTGAATAATCATAAAGATACATATGATCAATCTCAAAATTTAGATCTACTTATAAGCATTTTTCTTCTAGTTTCAAATTATTTTACAATTGATATTTGTGATAAAGAATATTATATTTGGGAAATTACATAGTAATAAAATTTTGTTTTTTAGGATAATAATATCATCTAATTATTTTTATTTTTCTGAAAATACATTTGATACAATAAAAACATGTTTCTCTTTCTTAATGCATGGAATGTCCTGTCACATTATCTTTTTTCATGGTAATAATAATACTAATAATAATAATAATAGTAATAATAATAATAAAAAAAATAAAAAAAATAAAAAAATCATCTAATGCTCACTATTCATGTTGAAGTTCGACTAATCTGAATTATATCTAATAAGGCTCATTCAATGATAGTTTTTCCTACCAAGGATTTTTCTTCTTTTTAAATTACTACTAGAAAGAAAAACTACATCAAAATTTGTTAATTTTAAGTTAAGATATTTACAAAATAACTTCAATTAATATAACATAGTAATTTATATTGGCTTAATCAATTATCAAATTATGAACAAGAGACATAACTTTGTATATTTTACTATTAGTAATCTAGTATCATTTAAATAGATAAATAATTTTGATATATTTATCACGAGAAATTTTAATCAGTGTTTTAAATTTATGTAAATAAATGATAGAGAACAAGTTCTTAAGACTCTTGGAATTAAATTTGTTACACACAATACATGAGATAAGTTTTTATACATACAATAGCTCGATAAATATAAATTAGTTAGTAACAAGAACTAGAGGACTATCCAAGAACTAGAAGAATTTTTAAGAACTTGTTCTTTACTATTTATTCTAACTTGAAATAATATATATCTGAAGATATTATTTGATATTTAAATGGTTCGACTTTTGAAAAGTGAAACATTACGTGCATTATAACACAAATGCATAAACTATCCTAGAACTAGAGTAATTTATGTTGGATTTTGCACGAACCGTAAAGAGCTAGGCGAGAAAATTTTTGCTTTTATAATTATCTTTTATTTGGTATAAAATATGGGTGACATAAAAGAGCTAAAAAAAATTATTGTTTAGAAAAAGATGAATAATGTGATGTGTAATTTCATTAAGAGAGAGAATGGTGTTTTTATTGTGTTAAATATATTTTGAGATAAATAAATATAGTTATGTAATATTATAATCCTAAAATGAGAATCTCTTACGTTAGTAACATCATTCATCATTAATAGAATATAACATTTAAATACTTAATAAGGCTGAATGCATCATAAGCAGCAGCCCAAAATAACATTCACTGATTCAATTTAACAATCAAAGTCGAAGGAGAATGATGACACTATTCTTGGTAACACTTCCCACATTTTAACAAAGCAAAATCTGCTGCAAGAGCACCACAAAAAGTATTGGAAGCTGTCAATAATAAATTTCGGATATTTCCAGAACAGAAAAGTCCAACCTAATGCACATTTACATTAGCCCCGCATTAACAAATAAAATTGAACTTCATAAGATAGGCGCGAAAGCAAAACCAATAAATTAATAATCTTAAAGCAATAATTAAGGTAAACCTGATGTCATCACATTGGGTGTGCACCCAGCGCTCGCAAATGTCACAGCAAACCATAGGTGTTGTATCAGAATCTCTATACACCTATTGTATATATAAAAAAAAGATTAATTGCATTCCCCATAGACCTATCGGAAGAAAACAATTGGTTTCATTGGAAAGGCAATGAAAGCCATCCAGTAATTATAGCCGACAAATTAGAAACTTCACATTAATAAACCACCATACCACAAAGAACTTCATTGTAAGATTAAACAAAGAGAAGCTCAAATAATAATAACGGACAAAATATCTAACCTTCAAACAAACTTGACAGTAGTTTCCCTTCACAAATAATCTTCCACAAGCATCACAACAAGTGTATCCTAAATACCAGCTGCCATAGACCAAGATATCAATAGTTCAGAGGCAATAGGATATGCAAGGCCTTTAATGATTTTCATAGGATATGCAATGCCTTAAAATGATTTTCATGTATCACATGCAGCACACAACATTATCGGATGCCACTAATGCAATAATTTGTATTTAAAATCTCACTAAGATATTAGTGCAGAAAATTAACTGTGCTACGGGAAAGCCCAAAACTAGAGAACTTATTTAAACTGCTTTCATAGCCCTTATCACAATATATAACGTAAATTAAACTCCTACATGATGTTCCTCTGTGAAGATACAGAGAAAAAGACATGGAGAAGTACATGAATAAGCAGTTCAACTAAAATGGAGTTAATTGGACTGTTCAATTAATATTTACAGCAAAACTTGAATCCAAGAGAATTTCCACTAGCTGTTCATGGCCCCATACAATATACCTCGCTCTCAGTCTGACACTTTGTATGTTTGGGGCACAAATAAGGCCCACTGCTAACTTTCTGCACATCCCGAAAACAATAAGTACAATCTAGTTTTATTATTATACAGAACGGGAAGAGTAAGACACGATAATCCACCTTGAGTGGAGGCTGCATACAGTAACAGTGATAAGCTGCATCACACCTTTTTCAAAACATGAACTTGTTTGGATCTCCAGTTGTTTGACAGCCCTACATCAAAAAGGGAGCATACATACAGTAAGCATATACGAACAATATAGTATGCATAAGAACATGAGTTGAACAATAACATAGACATCGCTTAGCTAAAAATACAATAACCACTAGAGTATGATGCAGAACGGATGTCCATTTATCAAACAGAAAAGTTGTTTTAGCAAAAGATTAGAACAAACAAAAAGCGGCCAATACTTTTATTTATGACTACTCGATAGGGACACTTCCAATAGTTTTTTTTTAAAGATATGTCATACTTGAAGAGATTTTTACGAGTTAATATGTTTGATACTCATTATTTGAGTAGAAACTGTGCTTCATGTCATGCTGCCTCAAATAGATTAGCAACCCGCCGTGCAATTTAACAGGAGCATATAAAAAGCCATTATCACTAACATCCTTGACCATGAGCCACTCAAATAGAAAAGAAAGAAAATAGGTTAAACTCCATTCACTTGTGTATATCTCATCAGCACATAAACTCCAGTCTTTGTGAGAGCAAATCTAGTCCTTAAATATTGTATTGTCATCTTCCACTCTCTAGCACCCCTTCCCTCCAAACCATTCCCACATCCTGATAAAATACCACTATAACCAACCAATAAACTCATTTCCTGCCCATGCAACACATACAACACAAGGGGAGGGCGTTCGGTTCGGTATAATCATATTTCGGTTCGGTTCTTCGGTATTCGGCTTTAGAAAACTGTGCACCATATTTGTAACCAAACTAGATCGGTTTGGTTCGTTTTTTTCTACTTCAGTTCGGTATTTTTCGGTGTTTATCAATCGGTTTTTCGATGTGAATAAAAATAAAGAGAGAATATAATAAAGTAACAATTGATGTTCACTTCAAACATCAAAGTAACAACTAACGGCCTAAAAATAAAAGGTAAGAACATGAATTTGTTGTTCAAACTTCAAAGTAACAACATAAAATGATAAAATCATAAAAGTAGAAATTAGAAACACCACGTTGCGGCTCAAACTTGAATTAAATTGAGTTTTTTTTTAGTTTAGACTTTAGGGTTTACTTTTTGGTTATTTAATTTTTGTTATTTAAGTTTAGGCTCTAAATATAAAAATTGAAATGAGCCAAGTAAAGTTAAAAAATAACTAATATAATAAATATTTTAAAATTTGTTTAATGAAACTTCGGTTCTCCGGTGCACCATAGTTTCGAGACCCTTAAACTGAACTCCAAACCGAAGAACCGAAGTTCCAAGAAAAAGAAACCAGCACCGCAAAACCGAAGTTTTTCAGTTCGGTTTTGGGTTTTTGGTATTTATGCTCACCCCTATGCAACACCTTCAATCCAGTTCTTGCAATCACTCTAACAGTAAATTAACAATTCCACAAGCACCATCCTTTGACTTCTTCTATCACTTCTTCGTTCAATATGTCGAAAACCCTTCACATCCCCAAATCCAGTTTCAATAAAAGCTAGTGATGCCAAGTTTAGGGTTATTGCGGCATTTATGACGTACACGCTTTGGAAAAACTTGGTATAGCAAGATGAGAGAAATTTTTTTTCAACAAAGTAGGGAATATTATTTGAAAACTTCAAAATATGGAAAAGATAGGAATAAGGGAGCAAAAAGAGTAGGTTTATTTCATTCTTTTTTGGATATATGTGTACGAGGATTACTCTCTACAATTAAGTGTTGTTTGACATGTTTGTCTTTTTGTTTCAAGTTTTAACGCTTCTACTTCTATTATTGCTTTTTTGTATTTTTTTAATCTAGTTAACATACTTTCATTCATAAACATGGCCAAGTTTGCAATATACAAGGAATATATCAAAGGATAAAAAAGCTACTAAAGGATAGGATTCTCTACTAACTCAACCCACTTTTTCCTCCGTCTCAATTTATATGATTTACTTTCCCTTTTAATCAGTCTCAGAAAGAATGGCATGCCTCTATATTAAGTAACAACACAACTTTAAAATGTGTATTAAACGATTTAAGTCACACAAATATTTATCACTTATTTTAGACCACAATTTTCAAAAGTCTTCCTTTCTTTTTTGAACTCCGCGTCGAGTCAAACTAAATCATATAAAATGAAACGGAGAAAGTATAAAACAAGGGATTTTTTGTTCACACCAAAAGAAAATAAGGGAACTCAAACTACTCCTTGATGGAGAGAAACTCGACGCCACAACTTCAAAAGGTCTCTCATTTCCCTCTCTCCCCAAAGTACCCATATTAAAGCAAGTGGAACCACGTTCTAAGACCTTCGTCTTCTTTTCCTTCTCCTCTCTTCCAACTAAACATCAAATTTTCACCGTCTTTGGCCATGCTCACCGAGTGCCTAACCATCCAACATTTATCCCACCATAGCCTCATGGTTAGCCCACAATGTAATATGAAATTAAATGCTGCAAACTAATTAGTTTTACAATCAATTGAATTGATTGAGAATCTAAAATCAATGTTACTATTGACCATCATTATTTTGTGACCTCGTTCAAATTTATTTTCATTCTATTTCATTTTAGGTATAGAATCTACATATTGTTATTATTGTATAATAGGTACTGAAAATAATAATGCTACTCTCTACTTGATCATACAAGTACAAAATTCATATGCTGCTTATTGCTTTTGATCAAAACTATAAGACCTTATTGTTTTTTGGCATTTTCAAAGTACTGCTCAAATCCTACCAATATTCAAACCTATAAGGCTTTTTTTCTTTGCCCCCAAGAAACCTCCTTAGTAAACCTAGATGCAAGTCTCGTGGTGCCACAGAGGGAGTAACAAAGGAAGGGATAAAGGTTAACGGATAGTTGGTTATAACCTTTGTTTGATTTAGTTTGGTTGACCATTGGTTATATGGATTAAACAATCTGAAGGTTTAATGTGAAACAAAAACTAAAATTGAAGTTTTGCTCAAACAAAAAAAAAATTGAAGTCGCCAAAGAACACAACTACAAAAGCACAAAAGACTGAAAAGCAAGCTGGAGAAAAAGACAAGGAAACAAAAACCAAGAAGAAAACCTAATCTGATTCAGTAACACCTTGCAAACTTAACATGATAAATTTACACCATAAAAAGAAAAAACATAAAAGGGATGGAACTATAGTGACTTATTTCACATTAAATAACTTCTTTTCAAAACTGTGGTGCCTTCACCAGCTTGTGAGCACTTCGACGCCTTCCACCATAACTCTGTTACCAAGACAAGAAAACACCAACTGTCATTTAAAAACTTCTTACAACCAGGGATTGGGGCTTCAACATGGGTTTATCATTATAAGCTATGATAGCTTGCAGCTTATTTGGTTTCGACATGGTGCATATTAGAGTTGGGTCCACTTGATCTAGTGGAAAGTAGTATTCCCTGTTTCTTACAGGACAAAAGGTAGTTGATATGGAAAGTGTATGATTGGTGACTTATGGGTTTGCGTATAAGTGGGGCCATGGGTCAAACTCTACCTGTTTTACCATCTCCTTTGACTATCGAACACCATAAACATATGGAGATATCCATTTAAAAGCATTGACTTAAAAGTAATATCATTATTTCTGAATTGACTGTCCATGCAGACACAAAGAAGTTGAAAACACCTATTTCTATAGTTAAGACAGCGATCTTAGTCAGGATCCTCTTTTTTTATCAGTGTACCTTACCAAGATTTCTGTGTCAAAACTGACATGGATGATCTCTCATAGGGTTAGGTAACAGGTTAGAACCTAAAATTCGTAAATATAAAAACCTCAGTTTTTTACACAAGGCTAGCAAAGTAATTGGGATATCAGTTGATATCTCATATTAATTTAATTTTTCCATTTTATTAGGTAATAAAAGTCAATGTTTTTTCGAATTAGCTTTGACCTTCTTATTGACATTAAAGAAAAAAAAGAACTCATTGTATAATTGCCACATTTATTAGAAAGCAAAACCAAATATGTTTCATTATTTTATTGGAAAGAATCAAAAGTTTTACCTCACAAACCCGGAAGAGGGACATGTCCATGAACTCCAATGGAAGAGATCTGTAGGAAGGGGCATAATAGCAAAAGCAAAACACTAAAAACTCGAATCTTGTGGCCTATAAAAGTACCTCTATGTTGACCCCAAGTTTTCAGGCAGCTTAGGTGATACTTCTTCCCACAACAATTGCATGACATCATCTTCCTTGCTCTTTCACCTCCTTCGGTTTCACTGGAAAAGCATAGTCTACACAGCACTTTGATATTTGATAGACCTTGTTCTTCTCCACCAACATCATTCGTGGAGCCCTGAGGTGAGATAATTATTTGTAAATAAAAATATTGGATACTTTCGTGTAACGATTTAAAACAGCAGTTCCTAACCTCCACATCTCCAGACTGAAACCCTCCAGTGAAATCCTCACCCACATTAGATGAAGCAGCAGCAGCTTTCTTCTGCAAAGCAACACGCTTTGTCTGAGCTGAAGCAGTAGAAGCTGCCTCCTCACCATCCCCATTACCAACAGGCACCCGTAAGGGCGACTCAACGATTAGCTTGGGCACCTTAACCTGACATGTGGCAGGTTGTTTGGCCTTAAGACCCCATGGATCTTTGAGAAATTCCTCAAGCTTAGTCACATCTCCTAAGAACCCATTGTAACCCTTTGAGAACCCATCTCGGCAGAAGCAGATCTTCCGTCTGCACAATGAAGGCAAAAACACTCAACTGGGTCAGAAATTCAAAAACAAACAACAAAACACAAAACGGAGAAAGCAATGTCGCGTCCCTCCATAAAGAGAAAAATAGCAGATCCTCCAGCTATACAAAAAAATAGCCAAATCCCACACCCAAAAACGCTGGATGGTATAAAATAACATCAGTAAACAACTACAAACCATAAGACAAAGAAACCCATTTGGCATCCTTGGTCTAGAACACTGATAATAAAAAAAAAAGGAGAGAAAATAAAGAAAACTATACACAAATAATACAAAAATAAAAGAACGTAGTACCAGGTAAATGGGCACGCTGTGTGAAAGGCCATACCCAAGATCAAGATCTTGTTGTATGAGGAATTTTTGAAGAGTTCAAATTGGGAAAAACCCTTTGGGGGAAAAGAGAGAGAGAAAAAGAGAGGAAGTGTTGGGGGCGTTACTTGTGATTGTGATGTCTGTGGGTGTTTGGGGTTTTAGTGGTTTGTTTATAAGATGAGGAAAAAATCACATTTGGCCCATTGAAGTGTTAGAAATGTTGATCGAATCCATGATTGTTTGTATCAAAGTGAAAAAAGGTCAAAAATTCAATAAAGATAAAAGTTTTATTAGGAGAAGAGAAACTTCCAGAAAAATACATATGGTCATTGTGAGTACATTTTCATGATTTATTTGACCATAAAATTTGGTCAGATTTAGAAAATCTGGTTTTTAAATATTTTCAAATTCCCACCAATATTTGGGCTTTTTGGGACATGGCTAATACTACGAGTCAAGTGGTCATGAATTTTCTTCTAGTTCATAGTTACAAGTTCTTGTCAGCTGTCTAAGATCTACTATAAAGTCCAAGCAGTTACAAGGTCAGCAAAGTCCTGCTTGGAAATATGTTATAACGAAACTAAAGGAGCTCAATTTTGATGATTTCCTTGAAGCAAGGCTGGGACATAAAAATGGAGTTGTAACTTACAAGACAAAAGAAAGGAACAACTAAAAATCAAGAAATTGATCATTGAAGAATTGATTTTTGATGCTCATTTCCTGAGAGGAAGGGAAAGTTTGAAAACCTTACATAGTTCACAGTATGAACATGCTCATTAATTCCAATTCTGCATTTGACACTCACGGGAACATTTGTATTTGCAGCAATTATGCACATGGCCTCAGCTACAAACTTTCCTTGAAGAAGTTGTGAATATGTCAGAGCAAGTATATAGATAAACAATATATTTGATGCATCAAGCAAACAAATCTGAACCTTTGGATCAAGCATGAGGCACACACCAAAACACCAACATCATGCTACTCAGGGGCTAGAGAAAAAGTCAGTTTTTTAGAACCCAAAAACTGATAAATTCTTTTTATCAATTTCAAAAAAAATAATAAGTATCAGTTTTGGGTCTGAATAAAATCTAGAAACGCATATTTTAAGATGGGAAAAGCAGAACGGACTTAAAATTAGTTTAATCAAAGCCATATGAAGTAGCCAGTTGTGTCGCATTAGTTAAGATCTCCAAATTATTTTCCCCAATTTGAAGCACTGTAGGATATTGCTTAGGGAAATATGCCTAGTATTTATCCCAGTATATTAGAAAAATCCCATGAATGTCAAATCTCAATGCACGATACAGACAAACAAGCATTGGAGAGTGACAAACTGCTCTTAAAGGTCCAGCCGCAAGCGCAATAACATATCAGTACAAGAAAATTCCTCTATGAGATTTTTTTTTCTTCTTTTAACTTTTGATGACCGAGGTGTCCCTACCAGCTTTCATGGACCTCGATTAATTCAATGGAAATCTGCCACCTCTCATCAGCAGCAGGTAACTTTGTCCAACAAGGCTAGCACAGATGGGAAGGATCACCTAGTTTTTCTTGTCTCCACTGTGTTTTGAACAAGATAGCTCAGGGTTCTCAACCACTTTTTTGACCACTAGGTCACACCCTTGGGTGCAGTTCTTTTTGCAGATCCACCCATGTTACAATAATATATCATCTAGGTTCCTTCTTTGCTAAGTATTTTACACCAACAAAATAAATATTCCTTTTCTAGGAAACCATCTAACAGGGACAAGGGTCTTAGTTTAGGGAAATGAAAAATAACCAACAAATTTGGTTAACTCGACCCTTGAAAGACAACCCAGAGAGCCTATAGTAATTGATATAAAAACAGTACAATTCATCAATTTAGAAAATCAAATACAAGTGTCAGCTGTCGGGTGCCATCATATAGAAGTATTAACTGTAAGCTTCTCTTTGTAGAAGGTCGGTTTAGATCATGTAGAAAGTAGGCATATAACTGGGAAAGTCTATAAAAAGGACAAACTAATTAGTCAATTAAGTAGGAGTCCTTCAAGTTTTAAAAATTACGTAGAAGTGACATAGTGTAAATTAGGTTAGGTTAAAATATATTTTCTCAATAGTCCAAGACTTTTAACTTTTACACTTTAGTCCAACAGCTGTCTCGTTGTTGTGGGGACAACTTCTTTAATTGTCCGAAATTTTCTATAGGTGTCCAAACAACTTTAGTAGTTGTCCAGACAACAACGAAGAATGTTCTTAGTTTACTCCTTTTAATATTAAAAATAAAAAAAGTAAAAAAAAAAAAAGTAAAGGAGCCCAATTGTCCTATTTTTTAATTGGAAACCTTTAAGGCTTTTTTAGCACATTTTCTCCATATAACCACATAGACATTATCATGAAAATTGGGGCTGGCAGCAAGAGGATGAAGATTAAAGAAAGTAACATTGGTCACCACATGACTTAAAACAAATGGGAAAAATAAAATCATAGGATATTTTGATTTATGCACATTCAGTGAAAAAATCAACCGGTACAATTGATTTAAATTATCATATATGAGTTTAAATCTTCGGTAATTGTAAGCCTTTATATACTATATAGCACAGTAAATGTTGATTTCTTTCTCATTTTGTTTTGTCTAGTATAAGAACAAAGAATTACTCGCATGATTCCCTTCTTTTTTCTTAGCTCTAGTTATCAGTAAGAAACAAAAGGGTATTTTATAGTTGGGTACAAAAGCACTAGAGTCTTATTCCATGCAGCAGAACTTTACCAAATTGCCAGACTGGTAGACAGTTGTTTCGTCACCAAGCATTTCTGGGTAGAGCCACGTCTTCCTTAAGATGAGACAGGCCAAAATTCTGTAATGGTTATCAGTCCATTTCATCATGGGAGCAACACTGTTTAAATACAAAGGCTTATAAATATTAGGGAGCATTTTTATATTAATACTTTAAAGTGAAAAAATAATATGGAGCTTATTAACCATGCAGAGAGAGAAAATTAGACTTGAATGTATGCACGCACCTGAACCAAGGAGGAGAATAGTGCTCTGCCCCATTAGATAAGTAGAGTGGAGTTTTCATGATAAGCACACAATGTCTTGCTTGAACTTCCATAAAAGAAGTCTGATGACAATCTGCCACGGGTTCCGATAATAACAGAAGACAATGTCCCGTCGATTTCTTCTTCCCTCTAAGTCCAGCGTAGGCTGCTCTTTTATGAACTCTACCCATTGGATAGGAATTGGCATCACACAAGAGGAAATGCTGTATACCCCACAGAGGCACTTTGAAACACTTACCAAAATAGATAATTAACTGAATCAATGAAGACCTGAAGCCACCTAGCTCAATATAGAAACAAAAAATACTTGGGTCATAGATGAAGGATGAACTGCCAGGAACTAGAAAGTTAGAACACAGGCTCAACTAACTGAACAATTTTATTTATTTTACAGGTGATGTAGGTATTGCCTAGAAGACTGGAAAATCCACCCTCACAAGTTAGAAAGAAGAGAAGCTCCAAAGATAACTAAAACATTTGAAGTACAATTCCGGCATTTATCTTGCGGGTAAGAAAAAAGTTCTAGACGCTTAGAAGGCAGAATGATGCACTTCAACGTTTAAAATACAAATGTTTAAACTCATTAGCTTTTCGGGGCAATCTGAAAAAACTAAATTGATATAGATGCTATGATGGATTTACTTGACTCGGACACGGATACAAGAGAGCTTTGATCATTTATAGCCTTCTTGATAACAAGAACTCACCTGGTGTTGTTTTAGCTAATCAATTATTATTATCAATCAACGTGGAACTACATCTCAACCCTAAGCTTGTCAAGGTTAACTATTTGAATCCTCTATGATAACAAAATATTGTTTATAAGCAAATTATTGACATTCTCTATTTTAACCATCCCAAAAAAATTTCACAATAGTCCACTAGGCATATACAGTTATCCCATTTAAAGTGACGTCATTGAACTGGAAATGGAGTTCATTAATTATGGTAACTAATTAAATAATGTAGATATGAGAATATTTAAACATGGTATAATTAGATAGTGTAGATCACAGAATATTTAAATCAAAACCAAGTTTAAAATTTGAATGTTAAAACGTTCTACAACTCATGCTCATTCAGATAATGACAAAGGAGATGGGATAGTTCATGAATTGCTCGAGAAAGAGAAAAAGAACCCATAAAAATTCAATCTTTTCAAGTTTTCTCCATATAATCTACCCTTTCCAGCTTCCACCAAAATTAAATAGCTCTTAAATAACATCTCCTATTTTTTCCATTGCTTAATATCTTAATCATATTCCGGATATCCAAAATCTCAGAACCACCCAATTCCCACGTTTAGCTCTTCCCTTCTAACAGGAATTAACCTAAAAAAGTGGGAACAGGCAAGTTTTCTCCATATAATCTACCCTTTCCAGCTTCCACCAAAATTTCCATTACAATAAACGACATTAGGTAACTCAAGAACGAAAGAAGCAAAACTAGCATAAAATAAAAAAGGGAAAAACACAATATTAATAAATTAGGTAACTCAAGAACGAAACAAGAACAGCTAATATGAAATTAAAAAGGGCAAAGCACAATATTAATATATTTAACTAAGAAGAATGAATAATATAAAACCCAGCATATGTACAAAAGATTAAAATTGGATTTAGGGTTTTACATGGAAACAGAGAGATGATGCTTCACTTACTTCTGAGCTGAATACAGTGGCAGTTGGAGAAGACAATCCCAATAAAATAGTGAGGGTATACATATTTTATTTTATTTTTCTACTTCCTTTTCTGAATAAATTTCTAAACATGAATTTATTACTCATAATATATTCTTTATATTGAAATCATCTAAGATAAAATAAGTTAATAATAAGGTATCAAAACAAAAGTGAGTTAAAAGCAAAGATATTTCTCTTTTCGGGGGATTTGAATAATATAAAATATTTCATTACTAAAAAACATCTTTTTATTGAATAATCATAAAGATATTTATAAGCATCTTTCTTCTAGTTTAAAATTATTTTACAATTCATATTTGTGATAAAGAATATTATATTTGGGAAAATGCATAGTAATATAATTTTGTTTTTTAGGATAATAATATCATGTAATTATTTTTATTTTTCTGAAAATACATTTGACACAATAAAAACATGTTTCTCTTTCTTAATGTACGGAATTTCCTGTCACGTTATCTTTTTTCATAGTAATAATAATAAAAAAAATTAGAAAAATCATCCAATGCTCGCTATTCATATTGAAGTTCGACTAATCTGAATTATATCTAGTAAGACTCATTCGATGATAGTTTTTCCTACCAAGGATTTTTATTCTTTTTAAATTACTACTAGAAAGAAAAACTACATCAAAATTTGTTAATTTTAATTTAAGATATTTACAAAATAACTTCAATTAATATAACATAGTAATTTATATTGGCTTAATCAATTATCAAATTATGAACAAGAGACATAACTTTGTATACTTTATTATTAGTAATCTAGTATCATTTAAATAGATAAATAATTTTGATATATTTATCACGAGAAATTTTGATCAGTATTTTAATTTTATGTAAATAAATTATAAGTTAAAATAAATGATAGAGAACAAGTTCTTAAGACTCTTGGAATTAAATTTGTTACACACAATACATGAGATAAGTTTTTATACATACAATTGCTCGATAAATATAAATTAGTTAGTAACAAGAACTAGAGGACTATCCAAGAACTAGAAGAATTTTTAAGAACTTGTTCTTTACTATTTATTCTAACTTGAAATAATATATATCTGAAGATATTATTCGATATTTAAATGGTTCGACTTTTGAAAAGTGAAACATTACGTGCATTATAACACAAATGCATAAACTATCCTAGAACTAGAGGAATTTATGTTGGATTTTGCACGAACCTTAAAGAGCTAGGCGAGAAAATTTTTGCTTTTGTAATTATCTTTTATTCGGTATAAAATATGGGTGACATAAAAGAGCTAAAAAAAAATATTGTTTAGAAAAAGATGAATAATGTGATGTGTAATTTCATTAAGAGAGAGAATGATGTTTTTATTGTGTTAAATATATTTTGAGATAAATAGATACAGTTATGTAATATTATAATCTTAAAATGAGAATCTCTTACGTTAGTAACATCATTCATCATAGTAAAAAAAAAGAAAGAATGCCCACAACATTCTTATGCAATATTATGATACTAATTACTAACATACAAATCTATGCCTCACAAAAAATTTAACGTTTTTATGTCAAAAATATTTTTGACTGCTCGTATAAGGTTTGAAATGTTGAAGGACAAAAATTAAAAAGCACCCTTAAATGGTAACATATATGTGTACGACTAGAGTTGCTTATGGTTATGATTAAAGGATAAAATCGAGCCGAAATTCGAATCAAATCGATCAAAAAAATCAATAATTTGTTAGATTTGATTTTAAATTTTAAAAACCGATATTATTTGATTTGATTTTAGTTTTATTTAAATACAACCGCAAAAAATAATTAAATCAAACCGATAAATTAGATATATAAATTTTATAGTTATTTATAAATTATTCATAAATAAAATATAAATAGTTTGTCAAATTTTAAATTTAAGTCTTTGCTCTACCATTTTCTCAAACCCAACTTTAACAATCCTAAGTCTAAGTTCGTTAAAATTCATTAATCTTTACATATCAATCTTCACATAAAATAGTGACACTTTCTCTTAATTGAATCACTTTGTTCGTATAGTGACAACTCAACTATCGCTTAATTGCGTAATTGCTTAATTGAACCGACAATAATTTTTTTGTGAATTGTTCATGTACAAGTGTTTATGTCTGTCGAGATACGTACTTCCTCGTAAAGAAATTATTACTTCGAATCAAATAAACCAAAAAAACTAAACCAAACCGATGGTTATTTCTTTTCATTTGGTTTAGTTTGATTTTAAAAATTTTAAAAACCAACTAGATTAGTTTAGTTTTAATTTTAATTAATAACCGATCCAAATCGAACTACAAACACCCATACGTACGACTACTTGTTTAGAGTTAAATGAACTACAATTCAAATTTCATGAACATATGCAATCAAATTGCATAATAATTTTATATTCATCTAAAATATTTATAGAATTTTGATATTGTAATAATCAATTCAAAACAAATAATTACTTCTCAAAATATAAATTTGACAATTTATCCATGAATTTAGAGTGTCCATTAAAAGCGTTAAAACGTGAACAAAAAATGAATATGCAAAAGAAAAAACTTGATTTAAGCCTTGTGAAATTGCTAAAACTAACACAAAAATAACAGTACTAACTCCTCATTTTTGACAGGTATCAAGATACTATATATGATGATAATTTTAAGTTATATATAGAATATATCTGAAATATTTCAGGCAATTCTTATTAAACGGAGCTCAACTGGCTATCCTATATTAGTATATTATAGTATGATAATGTCATCTGCCCTCAGTTACAACCAGTAGGAGCATCTTATCTCTAGTAATTTTACATTAAAACTGCAAATCCAGCAAGATTAATCCAAAGTACCACCAAAAACGGTGTTCTACCTGTGACCAGAAAAGAGAATTTGTACACCAGGAAATGAAAGATAACAATAAAACAGAACCAACCAACTCCTTATATGTAAGTCTGGTAAAAATGAAAACAAACTTGCAGCAAATACACGATGCAATGTGCAGTAACCTTGAAATTTTGACCTGCAGCGATCAGTACTTCCTTTTAGCCCACCAAAGAAGAACAACCATGAGAATCAACAGCAGCTGCTCATGCTCTTGGCATTCAGAGTTGTAAAATACACTGCAGCTAATAACCAATTTAGCAGTCAATGTTTTTGCTTTTCAGAGATACAAAACGTATTCCTTGCTTTCCAAGTTCCACGTTCTCCTTCTTCCCATCATCAAAAGCAACAGACACAACAGGTGAGCCTTCAAAAACTTCTACAACTGTCCCTATATGCCTGGAAAAGAAATTGAATTGAAAGGTCAGACTAGCAAACCTCAAAGAAAGTGTGGTACAGATTTATACAAATGCTATGCTATACAATTTTAATATATAAGAACCAGCAAGGGAGTTGCACTAGTTAAAAGCTCAAATGAAAATTGTAACTATAGATAATGTGTTCATTTTCTTTATCTTACTATATCCTTGTGTCCAAATACAATTCACTTGCTCTACTGATTACTTTTTTCACATTGGTATCATGATTAATAATCCTGAATATTACAGCACTCATTTCCTTTGAGGTTGCATAAATTTTAAGTATGCATAGTAGTCAGCTTGGCAATTAGCTTACCAGGTATTATCAGACGAATGATGAATTTCCACTCTCTTTCCTTTTGCATCTTTTCCCAACTTCTGCAGTATCCAGTTAGCATCCAAAAACTCATCCATTGTATTGTCTTCATATTGCTGTGATAAATTTTCATCAGCCCAGGTTGATGATTTTTCTCCAAAGGCTGGTGCTCTCTTTCTTTTAGACCTCTGGCCCTTAACCACGCTTTTATGCTCCTCTCCTGGAGAAGCCCAGGCATTTTGACTTTCATGGCAAGGATTCTTGAGCTTTAGGAGAGGTTTTGGATCCTTTCTCGCTGAATTTGATACTGAAGGTGTGCTATTTTTCTTGTCAATCAGGTCATCAAAAGAAGCGGGCTCAGCTTCGGCATGTTTTACAGAAGTCAATTTATTGTCCCTTGTAGCATCAGCTTCAACTCTAGCCCTTGTAATAACACTACCATCATTGCTTCTTTTTCCTAAGATACCAAAAGTCTTGAGCGGAGGATAAGGTCCAGATCCATCGGCAAATTTTCCACCAACTTCGGCAGGGAAATTAGTACCTTCTGGGCTAACTTTCTTGATCTTCATTAAGTTGCTTTCTTTACCCCTATGATTTTGACCCTTTATTTGGTCCATATGATTCACCTTATGTCCTTCAGACACAGAAATGAGAGCCAAAAGAAAGTCATTAATAAAATACTAAAAGCGGGCTTCTAAAAGCAACAATACAATATTATCTTCTTTCCCCATCCCTAACATAGAAAGTAAAACAATTTACAACACATCTTACCGTTTCCACCACCAAATTTATCTGCAGTGTCATCCCTTTCCGAGTCCTCATTCTCTCTGAGCTGAACTAGATCCTCAATACCTGATTAAAAAGGAAGTATATCTAAGAATATTTTTCGGTAAATAATTTTATGAGTGTTGGGAAAATCTCCGATACTAAAAAGGTATACCAAAAAGTAGAGAAATATAGGAACAAGCATAGAGTATTGAAGCTTATAACTTGATCTCATGAGATTTTGCTGCCTTAAACAAGCAATTTAGACATTGAATTGAAACAATTTTAGGGAACAACAGATGGACAAGCGAATCCAGAAATCGAATTTGAAAAACAAACAGGAAACAACAAAAGTCACCTACCTGTTTTGACTGTGAGCACATCAGTTTACAAATTAAATCAAATTTCCCAAAATTTCCAAGGGTGTGTGTATGGGTGGGGGTGGAAGTTTAAACATCAGAAAACAATAATAATATGCAGCATGAACTTTAATCACTACAGATAATATAACTTTTAATCTTTAGTGGGTCATTACCAGCTTTCTGAACTCTTCAGCTGCAAGTATTCACACAGAGAAAAGAATCTCAACTAATGTAGCATAGAAAATAGAGAGGAAACACCATAGCAGAAAAAGAATCAGAGAATTTTATCAGGTACAGAACAGATCTTCCAATCCCAGACCAAAGAAAACCAAATATACATGTCATGTCACCTTTATTGTACTAGATATATATATTTATATAGAGAGAGTTCTATAAAGAGAACCCTCTGGTTTATGCCAGAGTGCATCCATTAAGACATCAAATTCAGCGTTCTGAGAAAAAGGGAAGAAGTTTGTGAGTAAGATGTACATAAGTGCTACTCCTTTAAGATTTGTCAAGATCATTAATAGAATAAGTTTTAAGTCTTACATTTTTACCATTTTTAAATAAATGATTAGCATTGTCATGTGAAACTTCGAGGAAGTGACTCAAAATCCCCATTGACTTTACTTTCACAAGAAAGTTTCACGTAAGTCATGAAGAAGCTAATCTTCCACCAATTTTGGCAGGGAAATGAGCAGCTTCTGCGCTTAACTTTCTTGATCTTTATTAAGTTACTTTCTTTTGACACAGAAACGAGAGCCACAAGAAAAGTTACTAATAGAATATGAAAAATATGCTCCTAAAACCAACAAATACAATCTTACCTTCTACACCGTCCCCAACATAAAAAATAAAACAAGTTACAACAGGTCTTACCTGTTCCCCCACCAAGTTTAGACTTCTGCGCTCAACTTTCTTGATCTTTATTAAGTTACTTTCTTTTGACACAGAAATGAGAGCCACAAGAAAAGTTACTAATAGAATATGAAAAATATGCTCCTAAAACCAACAAATACAATCTTACCTTCTACACCGTCCCCAACATAAAAAATAAACAAGTTACAGCAGGTCTTACCTGTTCCCCCACCAAGTTTAGTTGCAGTGTCATCCCTTTCTGAGTTTTCATTCTCTCTCAGCTGAACCCGCTCCTCATTACCTGATACACAAAGAAGTACATATAAGAATATATTTCAAATAGGTAAATAATTTTATTAACGTGAAATTCTCCCATATACAAGAGTTATACCAAGAAGTAGAGATTCTACATATAAGAACAGTAGTATATAGTATTGAAGCTAATTATTCCATCTCAAGAGATTTTGCGGACTTGATCAAGCAATCTAGATATTGAATTGAAAGAATTTTAGGGAACAACAGATGCAAGAGCGCATCCAGAAGTCGGATTATAAATAAAAATTAGGAAACAACAGAAGTATTGCCACCTATCCATTTCGACAGTTTGTGTTAACATCAAAAAATAATAATAATTTGCAGAATGAACTTTAATCACTTAAGGTTATTTTAATTTTTTTTTTCTGGGTCATCATCAGCTTTCGAACTCTTCAGCTGCTAGTACTCACACAGAGGAAAGAATCTGAATGATAAAAAGAGAACTCCTCTGTTTTATGCCAGAGTGTATCCATTAAGACATCAAAAGCAGTTTCAGCATCTTGAGAAAAGGGAAGAAGTCTCTGAGTGAGATGTGCATCAGTGCTACTCTTTTAAGTTTTGTCAAGATCATAAAAAGAAAAACGTTTTGAACCACTGGCTTACACTTTTATCATTGTTAAATTAATATTAACAATGTATTGTTAAACTTTGAGAAAGTGACTTAAAATCCCCCATTGCTTTACGTTCAAAAGAATTTCCACTTAAGCAAAAAGATATAAAAAAAAACCATCAGATAACGTGATGACCAAAGCACACATTCCAAACATGCCAAATAAGCAGCTAATTATCCAAGGAGAGGAGAAGAAATATGCAGCATAAGTTTACATCCATACAAGTATTTCTTTTAGAAGAAAATGCATTACAAGAACGAACATGAAAGATACTTTTGACTTGTACTAACAAAAAGCAACCCAAGAACCACGGTACTTTAAGATATCCCTTAGCCAATTTATATGTCCTTTCTATATAACCAAGTATATTGGAGATACTTATGACTTCTACTAACAAAAAGCAACCCAAGAATCATAGTATTAATGATATTACCAAGCCAACTTATATGTCCTTTCTTTATAACCGAAAAATCCTCGAGGTTCAGTGACATAAGGTTCAAAACTGTGGGATAATGAGCACACCCATCTACCCTTCTTCACTTTAATATTTGTCGGCAGAAGGGTTTCACCCGTGACATGATCTTAATACACATCACGCGATGCTCTCTTACCAATAAAAGCCCTAAGGCAACTTATATATGAATTCCTTACCAATCATAGATGAAAATCTCGAAAAAAATAATAATGCACAAAGGAAAACTAAATCATGTTTCTCAATAACGCAACCTTTTGTCTGGATGAGATAACAGTTTTGAAAACCGTAGCTTTTGTGTCGTAAGTGATGCAAGCAAGTAGAAAAGCATATTTACAGTCATCAAACTCTACGGAGAAGCCATAGTCTTAAAAAAAGATTCATGCAAGTTAGAAAATGGAAAGAAAGAAGAACCCAATGATGACATATAGATTTTTTTTAACCATTTGGCCCCTTGGAGGTCTTTGGCATGCTTGTTTGAATCCCAACATCATCCCCATCCAAATGCTGAGGCTTGCTATTATTCCTTTGGACTTTCCTCTTACCCATGTTTCCAGTAACATCATCAGTAAATTTGCGCTTCATGACCCCTGCCTCATTAAATGAACATATACCTTCTGTTAAGCTACCAACAGGAGAAGAAAAGCTATTCACTTCCCCATAAGCCTGCAATTCATCATTCTTGACATCACCAGCACTACATCCACCAGATGGAGCATCAGGATGTCCTTCATTTTGTCCAGCTAACCCCTTCTCGTTACAAGAATCTTTTCCGCGTTCCTTGCTCATTTGGGGAGATTTGTCAACTATACCTTTAAGAGATAACTTTAAGGATTGTTTATGTTTATTTTTCACTGGAGGAGCATTATTTTCATCCTCTGAGAAGGATGAAATTGAAAATATTTCATCATCAACAGGCAACCCAGCTCCTGCCCTCAAACTTGCAATTAAATCCCTATCAGCTACATCTCTCCTCTTCCAAAGCTCCTGAACAGCATTGCTAAGATTTATCGACTGAGAACATCAAACGAGAATTATCAGGATAGAGTTCTCAATTAAATTTTCTAGTGAAATTAATCAATGCCATAAACACACCTTATAACTATATCCGCGGCATGTTGGACATGAATACGGCAAATCATCCACTTGAAACTGCAAATATTTTTCATCACTGCAGAGCAAATACCCATTTTCAAATTAAAACATCCAATGGATTTCCTCACTCAAAGCTCAAGTGGAAGTACAATTGAAGTCGCATAAGTTAACAGCTTTATATCGCATGAATGACAGGTGAACATCAGAGTTAAGGTGTGTAAATGTGATGGAAACAAAAAAAATTTACTGGATAAAAGCAAATATGAAAATACAAGAAGAGACGCAAGTATCTAGTAGAACAATAGAAAATACAAAAAGAGACAAGTATCTCATTTAACTTGTAACAACCCTTTTTGCACATAAAAGATATATTGCCACCTCCTGTCGAATTATTACTAGATATCATATTATAAAATAGATAAATAGAAGTACTTCAGAACTACATAGGATAAGGATAGTTTAATTCTAGTAACCATAAGTAACAGCTAATGACAGTAAGTAACCGCTCAATGCTCTATGGGTGAAACCTCCAGGGATTTCAGAAGATGCAAATCATTAACTTCCTATCTTTCTTCGCTTCTTCTTCCTAAAGTAAGTATTAAAGATATGTGCCTTATAAGTACACCCCTCCCGGAACGACGACTTGTTTCAAGACGAAAATCGGAAAAATGTGCAACTAACAATGATTTTTGGCCATATGACTAAAGACGTAAAATAGAAGAATCACCAACATCAGAAGAGGTCTATGTGCTTATAATTTGCCATTCTTAAGGTTCAACGTAGCATATCTAGTCAACATCAGTTCTTCAAGGTCTGACTGGAAAAATGTTGTCGTGAGTGTGTGTTTTTTTGAGGAACACCTTGTATTTCATAGGTCGGAATCTAGTGAATCTGTCTTTAAAGTGTAGCTCCGCACCTTACCCATCGTGTAATGACAGTGTGCATTCACCCCATGATCTTAGTGCTCCGATTGCGCCTTCTGTATCTGTAACTGTAAGTAGTTTTCATATTCAATTGAAAGATAAGGAACATCTCGTTCCAATTGGCTTGTATTATATTCAAGGATGCTAGCCATTGTATACCTAACACCATGCTTGCACCACCAAAGGAAAAAGGGAAGAAATCGTGCACTATAACGAGGTTCGAAACCTCTATTGACAGGCTATGACAAACTTTGTTGCATTTGCTAATTTCACCAAGCCGCTGGAGAGGAAGTCCCAATTGATGAAGGTCTTGATTCAGAAGGCCACCCATGTACCTTACTGGATTGATTTAGTCCTTGTTTACCTTTATATTCTAACGCCAAACTCATCGCCTTATACACAGACAAAGGCTTGTGAATCCTAACGTCCACACGAAGGTCTTATTTGTCCACTAAGGAAAACTCCAAGCAAACGATATTCTGCCAAGTTTGCTCACGCGCTACCCGTTTTGCGAATTTCTGCCTATACTCGAAAACTGATCCAATCCATTGAATACTAAACAAATGTTCATCTGAATTTTTTGAAACTAATCTGTAATTTTCTTGCATAACTTTCGCCAACTCATCCTAGTAACAAATGGTTGTTTCAGTGTTGATCAAAGCAAAAAAGCTCCAATGCATCTTTCTCCAAATACATTGAAGTCACATCAACCTTGCAATCATTAAGTGTTCGATCATACTTGGGAAATTCCATCATTGTGTAAGAACGTCGATAAATTTCTTAATGCCTCCAAGTGCTATCAACCTCGCCCTCATCAATTAAAACTTTAGATTTTCCATCCTGATTTTATTTGTTTTTTGCTTTTAATGCAGCCACATCAGCAACGACAAGAGCATCAATGGCTCCCAATTTTATTGCTATAGTGGTCAATTGTTGGTCGATCTGATCAGGAGTCGACATGATAGGTTCGTTGTGGAAAGGGTTGGTTCGTGTAATAACCATGGCAGATTTTACTGCTCTGATACCAATGACAGAAACCAAGGTCTTTAACTGGATAAAAGTAATAGAAAATACAAAGAAAGACAAGTATTTCGTATCTCTTAGAACAACTTTTTTTGCATATAAAAGATATATTACCACCTATTTGCTTATTACTAGATCTCCTATTACATAATAGATAACTATAACTACTTTATAACTATTTAGGATAAGGATAGATAACTTCTTAGTAACCATAAGAAACTACTAAATAACTCCTAATAATTGCAAGTAACCTCTCCATGCTCCATGGGTGGAGGTTCGCTAAGTATTAAAGATACGTGCTTTATCAAAATGCTTTTTTTAAAAAACCATGGGATGTAACTTGTAAATTTTCCCCACAAACAATTATATTATATAATTAAGGAATATATATATAATTAAGGAATATATAACTACTTTCTTTCTCCATTACTTTGCTATTTTATTTGATATGCTATACTTGAATTGAGCGTTTGTCGAAATCCACCTCTCTACCGTCATAAGGTAGAGTAAGACTGCATACACTATACCCTCTATCATACCCCACTTGTGAGATAACAATGTGTATGTTGTTATATTTTAAGGAATATATTAATTAAATTTCATTAATTATAAAACAACCAATTAGAAGATGACAAATGTATTGTTGGTACCATTTGTATTGTTTCTCTTCTTCTCTTGCACTTCCAGGAAGTTGGTAACACTTTCTTTGCCACGTCACCTTTTAGGGGACCTTAGTTCCATTTCAATCAAGATAGGGAGTATCGCGTCAACTGTAGAGCTAAGTTGTGTAAATGACTTTTTTGAACCACCACGGGTTCCCTTACAATTATTTATATAAATTAAGGACTATATAACTACTCTTTTCTCCATTATTTTCATACCCTTACAAATATTTATATAAATTAAGGATTATATAACTACTTTTTTCTCTATTATTTTCATACCTAATTTATTCTGCTTTACTTGAATTGAGGATCTATCAGAAACAATTTTTAGCTGAATCCACGCACCCCCGTATCCATACACAGATTCGTATCCCCAAACCATAAATTTTAGATCATAAGATTCAACCTCTAGATCAACACCCGAGCTTGAAAAACTTAGCTATCTTTGGCACATCACCTTTTCGGGGTACTAGTTTCACTTCAAGCAAGAGTAGGGCGTATTAGATTCCATGTGAAGTTAAGGTGTGTAAATAACTTCATGGACAACCACGAGATGAAACTTGTGACTTTCCCGTACAAAAACTTACTCCCTCTTCCCTCAACATAATTACTCCATCCGTCTCAATTTCTGTGGCACCATTACACTTTACACAAATATTAAGAAAGAGAGGAAGACTTTTGAAATGAGTAACCTACCATTTGTGCGGCTATATTAAGAAAGATTGAGGGAAAGTATTGAAGTTAAATTATTTCCAATTATAACTTGAGATTTGCAAGTCCATGAATATTAGATTCCTCCATAATTATCAACAAATCGTACTAGGGAAATGTTCATAAATGTCGATTGAAAGTGGTCGTTTGAAATTATTTGTCAATAGTTAATCAAGATCTTGAAAGGGTGGTAACCCACCAAGGGACAGCAATTTTCCTTGCCAACTGTTAACCTTTCTTAATGAACTCAATTGCCATATATGTGAAGTAGTTCTAATCCTTTTCCAACCAAAATAGGACACAATCTATAAATTGAAGGGTAGAGGTCTTTAGTCATAACACTATGACTGTAGCATCTTTACACTTGCTTTTTAAATAAGCGCGATGACCAATTGTTTCAATCAACAGTTTCTCTCATACTAAGTTCAACCTGCCACCGTGGCACATAGCTCCGAAAATGAATTCTTGATTAGCCGATTACCTTGCCCATTAAAGCTAATGTACATGAAGCACTCTAATCAACTCACGGACGTACAGTGGGAGTTATAGCTGCAAAACCCTAATTGTATGAGTACAACCCTAAAGCTCCCGCTCACATACTGATGAAAGTGATACACACCTTTTTTAACAAATCAAACTTCCCATTGAAAGAATTCAAAAATGATACACATCCGAAATAATTGAAGACATGGTTTGTGAAAGGCGAGAATTATCACCTTTGGCGAAAGGCGAAACGAGGCCTTGTCGCCTTACTAGCGAGGAGAGGTGATCTCAAAAACGAGAGAATAGGTGAGGCGACAGAAGCACCACCTTTTTCTTCAAAACATGCTTTATTTAATAATTAAAAAGGCAATATTGGGGTTTATTTGGTGTTTTGGATAAACACAACTCTCTTTTCCTTATATTCGCAATCACGATCTTCGCGACCTTAAATTCGAAATCACGATCTTCGCTTCTCTCCACAATCTCTTTTTTCTTCAGTCCTTTGCTTCACGACCTCATCAAGTATGTTTTCAACAATTTTTCTTCTTCTCCTCCTCTTCTTCTTCAATGCCCTGTTTTTTATTTCTGTCAGCAGTATGCAGTCCCCGTTTTTTGAGAGTTCTAATATTGCTTGTTAATTGTCTTATGAACTATTGAGTCATTTAAGTTCTAGTGTTTTAGAACCTACTTTCTACTATTAGTTTTGAATTGATATATTTGTTAATATGTTTCTGCTATTGAGATATTGGATATGTATATATACAATTAAATATTTAAAGTTTTTGATATTAATTGACGCCTCAATTCATAAAGGTGAACGCCTCGCGGCGAAACAGACTCTTGTCACCTTTTAACACAGGTTGAAGGGAACTTTATCTTTTGAAAATCTTAACAGCTGCAAGTTCCCTTTACTTTCCTTGGAGGTTGTTTTCTGACACACCAAAAAAAAAAAGCCAAACAGCTTTTAGACATCATAAGTTGTTCCTTATAATCTTCAAAGGATTTTTTATTTTTACCCATTGATGACGTTCACCAATAAGCTGACAGTTTAACGCAGCGCATTCCCAAAAATTAGCCATATTTTCCACTGCAGTTGTAGAAAATTACAAAAAAACAAACAGTAATTTTCTTCTTCCTTTTTCATTCGTTCATGCTGCTAAAACTTAGTCCATGAAGCATATATCATTCATACAATCACATCAGCATACCAATGTCAATAAATCACTATACAAAAGAATTGTCATTCTCATCGAAGTCTCTCTCTTATAAGTTATGTCATCTACCTTGAGATACAACCAGTAGAACCCCGAAATTGCAGAGCTTTCTATCTCCAGAAATATAACATTTAAATTCTTAATAAGGCTGAATGCATCACAAGCAGCAGCCCAAAATAACATTCACTGATTTAATTTAACAATCAAAGTCAAAGGAGAATGATGACACTATTCTTGGTAACACTTCCCACATTTTAACAAAGCAAAATCTGCTGCAAGAGCACCACAAAAAGCATTGGAAGCTGTCAATAATAAATTTCGGATAATTCCAGAATAGAAAAGTCTAACCTAATGCACATCCACATTAGCCCCGCGTTAACAAATAAAATTGCACTTCATAAGATAGGCGCGGAAGCAAAACCAATAAATTAATAATCTTAAAGCAATAATTAAGGTAAACCTGATGTCATCACATTGGGTGTGCACCCAGCGCTCGCAAATGTCACAGCAAACCATAGGTGTTGTATCAGAATCTCTATAAACCTATAGTATATATAAAAAAAAGATTAATTGCATTCCCCATAGACCTATCGGAAGAAAACAATTGGTTTCATTGGAAAGGCAATGAAAGCCATCCAGTAATTATAGCCGACAAATTAGAAACTTCACATTAATAAACCACCATACCACAAAGAACTTCATTGTAAGATTAAACAAAGAGAAGCTCAAATAATAATAACGGACAAAATATCTAACCTTCAAACAAACTTGACAGTAGTTTCCCTTCACAAATAATCTTCCACAAGCATCACAACAAGTGTATCCTAAATACCAGCTGCCATAGACCAAGATATCAATAGTTCAGAGGCAATAGGATATGCAAGGCCTTTAATGATTTTCATAGGATATGCAATGCCTTAAAATGATTTTCATGTATCACATGCAGCACACAACATAATCGGATGCCACTAATGCAATAATTTGTATTTTAAAATCTCACTAAGATATTAGTGCAGAAAATTAACTGTGCTACGGGAAAGCCCAAAACTAGAGAACTTATTTAAACTGCTTTCATAGCCCTTATCACAATATAACGTAAATTGAACTCCTACATGATGTTCCTCTGTGAAGATACAGAGAAAAAGACATGGAGAAGTTAATAAGCAGTTCAACTGAAATGGAGTTAATTGGACTGTTCAATTAATATTTACAGCAAAACTTGAATCCAAGAGAATTTCCACTAGCTGTTCATGGCCCCATACAACATACCTCGCCCTCAGTCCATTTCCTGGAACATTAGAACAACAGCTGTGACACTTTGTGTGTTTGGGGCACAAATAAGGCCCACTGCTAACTTTCTGCACATCCCGAAAACAATAAGTACAATCTAGTTTTATTATTATACAGAACGGGAAGAGTAAGACACGATAATCCACCTTGAGTGGAGGCTGCATACAGTAACAGTGATAAGCTGCATCACACCTTTTGCAAAACATGAACTTGTTTGGATCTCCAGTTGTTTGACAGCCCTACATCAAAAGGGAGCGTACATACAGTAAGCATATACAAACAATATAGTATGCATAAGAACATGAGTTGAACAATAACATAGACATCGCTTAGCTAAAAATGCAATAACCACTAGAGTATGATGCAGAACGGATGTCCATTTATCAAACAGAAAAGTAGTTTTGCAAAAGATTAGAACAAACAAAAAGCGGCCAATACTTTTATTTATGACTACTCGATAGGGACACTTCCAATAGTTTTTTTTTAAAGATATTTCATACTTGAAGAGATTTTTACGAGTTAATATGTTTGATAATCATTATTTGAGTAGAAACTGTGCTTCATGTCATGCTGCCTCAAATAGATTAGCAACCCACCGTGCAATTTAACAGGAGCATATAAAAAGCCATTATCACTAACATCCTTGACCATGAGCCACTCAAATAGAAAAGAAAGAAAATAGGTTAAACTCCATTCACTTGTGTATATCTCATCAGGACATAAACTCCAGTCTTTGTGAGAGCAAATCTAGTCCTTAAATATTGTATTGGCATCTTCCACTCTCTACCGCCCCTTCCCTCCAAACCATTCCCACATCCTGATAAAATACCATTATACCCAACCAATAAACTCATTTCCTGCCCATGCAACACATACAATACTAGGGGAGGGCGTTCGGTTCGGTATAATCAAATTTCAGTTCGGTTCTTCGGTATTCGGCTTTAGAAAAGTGTGCACCATATTTGTAACCAAACTAGATCGGTTTGGTTCGATTTTTACTACTTCGGTTTGGTATTTTTGCAGTGTTTATCAATCGGTTCTTCGCTGTGAATAAAAATAAAGAGAGAATATAATAAAGTAACAATTGATATTCACTTCAAACTTCAAAGTAACAACTAACGGCCTAAAAATAAAAGGTAAGAACATGAATTTGTTGTTCAAACTTCAAAGTAACAACATAGAATGATAAAATCAGAAAAGTAGAAATTAGAAACACCACGTTGCGGCTCAAACTTGAATTAAATTGAGTTTTTTTTAGTTAAGACTTTAGGCCTTCAGGGTTTACTTTTTGGTTATTTAGATTTTTTGTTATTTAAGTTTAGGCTCTAAATATAAAAATTGAAATGAGCCAAGTAAAGTTAAAAATTAACTAATATAATAAATATTTTAAAATTTATTTAATGAAACTTCGGTTCTCCAGTGCACCGTAGTTTCGAGACCCTTACACTGAACTCCAAACCGAAGTTCCGAGAAAAAGAAACTAGCACCGAAAAACCGAAGTTTTTCAGTTCGGTTTGGTTTTTTGGTATTTATGCCCACCCCTATGCAACACCTTCAATCCAGTTCTTGCAATCACTCTAACAATAAATTAACAATTCCACGAGCACCATCCTTTGACAACTTCTATCACTTCTTCGTTCAATATGTCGAAAACCCTTCACATCCCCAATCCAGTTTCAATACAAGCTAGTGATACCAAGTTTGGGGTTATTGCGGCACCTATGATGTACACGCTTTGGAAAAACTTGGTACAGCAAGATGAGAGAATTTTTTTTCAACGAAGCACGGAATATTATTTGAAAACTTCAAAATATGGAAAAGATAGGAATAAGGGAGCAAAAAGAGTAGGTTTATTTTATTCTTTTTTGGATACATGGGTACTAGGATTACTCTCTACAATTAAGTGTTGTTTGACATGTTTGTCTTTGTTTCAAGTTTTAACGCTTCTACTTCTATTATTGCTTTTTTGTATTTTTTTAATCTAGTTAACATACTTCCATTCATAAACATGGCCAAGTTTGCAATATACAAGGAATATCAAAGCATAAAAAAGCTACTAAAGGATAGGATTCTCTACTAACTCAACCCACTACTTCCTCCGTCTCAATTTATATGATTTACTTTCCCTTTTAATCAGTCTCAGAAAGAATAACATGCCTCTATATTAAGTAACAACATAACTTTAAAAAGCGTATTAAACGATTTAAGTCACAAATATTTATCACTTATTTTAGACCACAATTTTCAAAAGTCTTCCTTTCTTTATTGAACTCCGGGTCGAGTCAAACTAAATCATATAAAATGAAATGGAGAAAGTATAAAACAAGGGATTTTTTGTTCACACCAAAAGAATATAAGGGAACTCAAATTACTCCTTGATGGAGAGAAACTCGACTTCACAACTTCAAAAGATCTCTCATTTCCCTCTCTCCCCAAAGTACCCATATTAAAGCAAGTGGAACCACATGAAAAGACGTATCCTCCCTAACCAATAGTCTCTTATAAAACGACCTCACGGAGAACATTCCATTATTTCCAAACCCCACTTCCAAACATCGAAATAATCAATCTTTTTCTTTTCTTTTTAAAAGATGACACTTTGTGTGTATGCAAGTCCCTGTCTTAAACTACTGCTGATTTTAAGCTTCTCTTTCAATTCTATGAATAGTTACAAAAGCAATTTAATATGAAGTTAATTGCTGCAAACTAATTATTTTTACAATCAATTAATTGAGAATCTAAAATCAATGTTGCTATTGACCATCATTATTTTGTGACCTTGTTCAAATTTATTTTCATTCTATTTCATTTAATGTATAGAATCTACATATTGTCATTATTGTATAATAGGTACTGAAAATAATAATGCTACTCCCTACTTGATCATAAAAGTACACAATTCATATGCTGCTAATTGCTTTTGATCAAAACTATAAAGACCTTATTGTTTTTTGGCATTTTCAAAGTACTGCTCAAATCCTACCAATATTCAAACCTACAAGGCTATTTTTCTTTGCCCCCAAGAAACCTCCATAGTAAACCAAGATGCAAGTCTCGTGGTGCCACAGAGGGAGTAACAAAGGAAGGGATAGTTAACGGATAGTTGGTTATAGCCTTTGTTTGATTTAGTTTGGTTAACCATTGGTTATATGGATTAAACTACCTCATTCCAAACAATCTGAAGATTTAATGTGAAACAAAAACTAAAATCGAAGTTTTGCTCAAACAAAAAAAAAATTGAAGTCGCCAAAGAACACAACTACAAAAGCACAAAAGACTGAAAAGCAAGCTGGAGAAACAGAGAACGAAACAAAAACCAAGAAGAAAACCTAATCTGATTCAGTAACACTTTGCAAACTTAACATGATAAATTTACACCATAAAAAGAAAAAACATAAAGGGATGGAACTATAGTGACTTATTTCACATTAAATAACTTCTTTTCAAAACTGTGGTGCCTTCACCAGCTTGTGAGCACTTCGACGCTTTCCACCATAACTCTGTTACCAAGACAAGAAAACACCAACTGTCATTTAAAACTTCTTATAACCAGGGATTGGGGCTTCAACATGGGTTTATCATTATAAGCTATGATAGCTTGCAGCTTATTTGGTTTCGACATGGTGCATATTAGAGTTGGATCCACTTGATCTAGTGGAAAGTAGTATTCCCTGTTTCTTACAGGACAAAAGGTAGTTGATATGGCAAGTGTATGATTGGTGACTTATGGGTTTGCGTATAAGTGGGGCCATGGGTCAAACTCTACCTGTTTTACCATCTCCTTTGACTATCGTACACCAAAAACATATGGAGAGATCCAATTAAAAGCATTGACTTAAAAGCAATATCATTGTTTCTGAATTGACTGTCCATGCAGACACAAAGAAGTTGAAAACACCTATTTCTATAGTTAAGACAGCGATCTTAGTCAGGATCCTCTTTTTTATCAGTGTACCTTACCAAGATTTCTGTGTCAAAACTGACATGGATGACCTCTCGTAGGGTTAGGCAACAGGTTAGAACCTAAAATTCGTAAATATAAAAACCTCAGTTTTTTACACAAGGCTAGCAAAGTAATTGGGATATCAGTTGATATCTCATATAAATTTAATTTTTCCATTTTATTAGGTAATAAAAGTCAATGTTTTTTCGAATTAGCTTTGACCTTCTTATTGACATTAAAGAAAAAAAAAGAACTCATGGTATAATTGCCACATTTATTAGAAAGCAAAACCAAATATGTTTCATTATTTTATTGAAAAGAATCAAAAGTTTTACCTCACAAACCCGGCAAGAGGGACATGTCCATGAACTCCAATGGAAGAGATCTGTAGGAAGGGGCATATTAGCAAAAGCAAAACACTAAAAACTGACAAATCTTGTGGCCTATAAAAGTACCTCTATGTTGACCCCAAGTTTTCAGGCAGCTTAGGTGATACTTCTTCCCACAACAATTGCATGACATCATCTTCCTTGCTCTTTCACCTCCTTCGGTTTCACTGGAAAAGCATAGCCTACACAGCACTTTGATATTTGATAGACCTTGTTCTTCTCCACCAACATCTTTCGTGGAGCCCTGAGGGGAGATAATTATTTGTAAATAAAAAGATTGGATACTTTCGTGTAACAATTTAAAACAGCAGTTCCTAACCTCCACATCTCCAGACTGAAACCCTCCAGTGAAATCCTCACCCACATTAGATGCAGCAGCAGCAGCTTTCTTTTGCAAAGCAACACGCTTAGTCTGAGCTGAAGCAGTAGAAGCTGCCTCCTCACCATCCCCATTACCTACAGGCACCCGTGGGGGCGACTCAACGATTAGCTTGGGCACCTTAACCTGACATGTGGCAGGTTGTTTGGCCTTAAGACCCCATGGATCTTTGATAAACTCCTCAAGCCTAGTCACATCTCCTAAGAACCCATTGTAACCCTTTGGGAACCCATCTCGGCAGAAGCAGATCTTTCGACTGCACAATGAAGGCAAAAACACTCAACTGGGTCAGAAATTCAAAAACAAACAACAAAACACAAAACGGAGAAAGCAATGTCTCGTCCATCCATAAAGAGAAAGATAACAGATCCTCCAGCTATACCAAAAAATAGCCAAATCCCACACCCAAAAACGCTGGATGGTATAAAAATAACATCAGTAAACAACTACAAACCATAAGACAAAGAAACCCATTTGGCATCCTTGGTCTAGAACACTGATAATAAAAAAAAGGAGAGAAAATAAACAAAATTATACACAAATATACAAAAATAAAAGAACGTAGTACCAGGTAAATGGGCATGCTGTGTGAAAGGCCATACCCAAGATAAAGATCTTGTTGTACGAGGAATTTTTGAAGAGTTCAAATTGGGAAAAACCCTTTGGGGGAAAAGAGAGAGAGAAAAAGAGGATGTGTTGGGGGGGGTTAGTTGTGATGTGATGTCTGTGGGTGTTTAGTTTTTGTGGTTTGTTTATAAGGTGAGGAAAAAATCACATTTGGCCCATTGAAGTGTTCGAAATGTTGATCGAATCCATGATTGTTTGTATCGAAGTGAAAAAAGGTCAAAAATTCAATAAAGATAAAAGTTTTATTAGGAGAAGAGAAACTTCCAGAAACATGGTCATTGTGAGTACATTTTCATGATTTATTTGACCATAAAATTTGATCAGATTTAGAAAATCTGGTTTTTAAATATTTTCAAATTCCCACCAATATTTGGGCTTTTTGGGACATGGCTAATACTATGAGTCAAGTGGTCATGAATTTTCTTCTAGTTCATAGTTACAAGTTCTTGTCAGCTATCAAAGATCTACAATAAAGTCCAAGCAGTTACAAGGTCAGCAAAGTCCTGCTTGGAAATATATTATAAAGAAACTAAAGGAGCTCAATTTTGATGATTTCCTTGAAGCAAGGCTGGGACATAAAAATGGAGTTCTAACTTACAAGACAAAAGAAAGGAACAAGTAAAAATCAAGAGATTGATCATCGAAGAATTGATTTTTGATGCTCATTTCCTGAGAGGAAGGGAAAGTCTGAAAACCTTACATAGTTCACAGTATGAATCATGCTCATCAAGTCCAATTCTGCATTTGGCACTCACGGGAACATTTGTATTTGCAGCAATTATGCACATGGCCTCAGCTACAAACTTTCCTTGAAGAAGTTGTGAATATATCAGAGCAAGTATATAGATAAATAATATATTTGATGTATCAAGCAAACAAATCTGAACCTTTGGATCAAGCATGAGGCACACACCAAAACACCAATATCATGCTACTCAGGGGCTAGAGAAAAGTCAGTTTTTTAGAACCCAAAAACTGATAAAAAATTTTTATCAATTTCAAAAAAAAAAGTATCACTTTTGGGTCTGAATAAAAGCTAGAAACGCATATTTTAAGATGGGAAAAGCAGAACGGACTTAAAATTAGTTTCATCAAAGCCATATGAAGTTGCCAGTTGTGTCGCATTAGTTAAGATCTCCAAATTATTTTCCCCAATTTGAAGCACTATAGGATATTGTTTAGGGACATATGCCTAGTATTTATCCCAGTATATTAGAAAAATCCCATGAATGTCAAATCTCACTGCACGATACAGACAAACAAGCATTGGAGAGTGACAAACTGCTCTTAAAGGTCCAAGCCGCAAGCGCAATAACATATCAGTACAAGAAAATTCCTCTATGAGATTTTTTTTTCTTCTTTTAACTTTTGATGACCGAGGTGTCCCTACCAGCTTTCATGGACCTCGATTAATTCAATGGAAATCTGCCACCTCTCATCAGCAACAGGTAACTCTGTCCACCAAGGCTAGCACAGATGGGAAGGATCACCTAGTTTTTCTTGTCTCCACTGTGTTTTGAACAAGATAGCTCAGGGTTCTCAACCACTTCTTTGACCACTAGGTCACACCCTTGGGTGCAGTTCTTTTTGCAGATCTACCCATGTTACAATAATATATCATCTAGGTTCCTTCTTTGCTAAGTATTTTACACCAACGAAATAAATATTCCTTTTCTGGGAAACCATCTAACAGGGACAATTTAGTTTAGGGAAATAAAATTAACAAACAAATTTGGTTAACTCGACCCTTGAAAGACAACCCAAAGAGCCTATAGTAATTGATATAAAAACAGTACATTTCATCAATTTAGAAAATCAAATACAAGTGTCAGGTGCCATCTATAGAAGTGTTAACTGTAAGCTTCTCTTTGTAGAAGGTCGGTTTAGATCATGTAGAAAGTAGGCATATAACCGGGAAGGTCTATTAAAAGGACAAACTAATTAGTCAATTAGGTAGGTTCAAGTTTTAAAAATTACGTAGAAGTGACAGTGTAAATTAGGTTAAAATATATTTTTCTCAATAGTCCAAAACTTTTAACTTTTACACTTTAGTCCAACAGCTGTCTCGTAGTTGTGGGGACAACTTATGTAATTGTCCGAAAACTTCTATAGTTGTCCAAACAACTTTAGTAGTTGTCCAGACAATTTTAGTAGTTGTCCAGACAACAACGAAGGATGTTCTTAGTTTACTCCTTTTAATATTAAAAATAAAAAATGTAAAAAAAAAAATGTAAAGGAGCCCAACTGTCCTATTTTTTTAATTGGAAACCTTTAAGGCACTTTTAGCACATTTTCCCCATATGACCACATATACATTATCATGAAAATTGAGGCTGGCAGCAAGAGGATGAAGATTAAAGAAAGTAACATTGGTCACCACATGACTTAAAACAAATGGAAAAATAAAATTATAGGATATTTTGATTTATGCACATTCAGTTAAAAAATCAACCGGTACAATTGATTTAAATTATCATATATGAGTTTATATCTTCGGTAATTGTAAGCCTTTATATACTATATAGCACAGTAAATGTTGATTTCTTTCTCATTTTGTTTTGTCTAGTATAAGAACAAAGGATTACTCGCATGATTCTCTTCTTTTTTCTTAGCTCTAGTTATCAGTAAGAAACAAAAGGGTATTTTATAGTTGGGTACAAAAGCACTAGAGTCTTATTCCATGCAGCAGAACTTTACCAAATTGCCAGACCAGTAGACCGTTGTTTCGTCAGCAAGCATTTCTGGGTAGAGCCACGTCTTCCTTAAGATGAGACAGGCCAAAGTTCTGTAATGGTTATCAGTCCATTTCATCATGGGAGCAACACTGTTTAAATACAAAGGCTTATAAATATTAGGAAGCATTTTTTATTAATACTTTTAAGTGAAAAAATAATATGGAGCTTATTAACCATGTAGAGAGAGAAAATTAGACTTGAATGTATGCACGCACCTGAACCAAGGAGGAGAATAGTGCTCTGCCCCATTAGAGAAGTAGAGTGGAGTTTTCATGATAAGCACACAATGTCTTGCTTGAACTTCCATAAAAGAAGTATGATGACAATCTGCCACGGGTTCTGAGAATAACAGAAGACAATGTCCCGTTGATTTCTTCTTCCCTCTAAGTCCAGCGTAGGCTGCTCTTTTATGAACCTACCCATTGGATAGGAATTGGCATTACACAAGAGGACATGCTGTATACCCCACAGAGGCACTTTGAAACACTTACCAAAATAGATAATTAACTGAACCAATGAAGACCTGAAGCCACCTAGCTCAATATAGAAACAAAAAATACTTGGGTCATTAGATGAAGGATGAACTGACAGGAACTAGAAAGTTAAAACACAGGCTCAACTAACTGAACAATTTTATTTATTTTACAGGTGATGTAGGTATTGCCTAGAAGAATGGAAAATCCACCCTCACAAGTTAGAAAGAAGAGAAGCTCCAAAGATAACTAAAACCTTTGAAGTACAATTCCAGCATTTATCTTGCAGGTAAGAAAAAAGTTCTAGACGCTTAGAAGGCAGAATGATGCACTTCAACATTTAAAATACAAATGTTTAAACTCATTAGCTTTTCGGGGCAATCTGAAAAAACTAAATTGATATAGATGCTATGATGGATTTACTTGACTCGGACACGGATACAAGAGAGATTTGATCATTTATAGCCTTCTTGATAACAAGGACTCACCTGGTGTTGTTTTAGCTAATCAATTATTATTATCAATCAACGTGGAACTACATCTCAACCCTAAGCTTGGCAAGGTTAACTATTTGAATCCTCTATGATAATAAAATATTGTTTATAAGCAAATTATTGACATTCTCTATTTTAACCATCCCAAAAAAATTTCACAATATTCCACTAGTCATATACAGTTATCCCATTTAAAGTGACGTCATTGAACTGGAAATGGAGTTCATTAATTATGGTAACTAATTAAATAATGTAGATATGAGAATATTTAAACATGGTATAATTAGATAGTGTAGATCACAGAATATTTAAATTAAAACCAAGTTTAAAATTTAAATGTTAAAACGTTCTACAACTCATGCTCATTCAGATAATGACAAAGGAGATGGGATAGTTCACGAATTGCTCGAGAAAGAGAAAAAGAACCCATAAAAATTCGATCTTTTTAAGTTTTCTCCATATAATATACCCATTCGAGCTTCCACCAAAATAAAATAGCTCTTAAATAACTTCTTCTATTTTTTCCATTGCTTAATATCTTAATCACATATTCCAAATATCCAAAATCTCATAAACACCCAATTCCTACACTTGAATACTTCCTTCCCACGTTAGCTCTTCTCTTCTAACAGGAATTGATTACGAACAGGAAAATTAATTAATTACGGGGTTTACAAGATTAAAAAAAGAACCAGAATAAACAGAAATTAGGGTACTCAAATAAGAAAAACTAAAATAAATAAGACAAAAAGGGAAAAGTACAATATTAATACAATAACTAAGAATAATGGAAAATATAAGAGCCAGTATATGTACAAAGAGGAAAATAGGAATTAGGTAACTCAAGAACAAACAAGAAAAACTAATATAAAATTTAAAAGGGTAAAGCACAATATTAATACAATAACTAAGAAGAATGAAGAATATAAAACCCAGCATATGTACAAAAGATTAAAATAGGATTTAGGGTTTTACATGGAAACAGAGAGATGATGCTTCACCTACTTCTGAGCTGAATACAGTAGCAGTTGGAGAAGACAATCCCAATAAAATTGTGAGGGTATATATATATATTTTTTTTCTACTTCCTTTTTCTGAATAAATTTCTAAACATGAATCATATTGTATATCATCTAAGATAATAAATTAATAATAATATGTATCAAATCAAAAGCAATTTAAAGCAAAGATATTTATCTTTCATTGATTCTTTTTAAATTAATAGCTAGAGAAAAAAAATGACATCGAAATTCATTGATTTTGATTTAAGATATTTGTAAAGAACTTCAATTAATATTAGATAGTAATTAATATTTGTTTAATCAATCATCAAATTACGAATAAGAGACATTTTTGTACATTTTACAGTTAGTAGTTTCGTATCATTTCAATAGATAAATAATTTAATATATTTATCACAAAAAACTTTAATCAAGTGCTTCTATTTTATGTAAATAAATTATTAATTAAAATAAACGATAGAAAACAAGTTCTTAAGACTTTTGGAATTAAACGTGTTACACGCAATATATGAGATACGTTTTTGTACATACTTATAGAATAGTTTGATAAATATAAATTAGTTAGTAAACAAGAACTAAAGGACTATCCAAGAACTAAAGAATTTTTAAGAACTTGTTCTCTACCATTTATTTTAATTTTTAATAATATATATATTAAGATATTATTCAATATTTAAATAATTCGATTTTTGAAAAGTGATACGTGATATACATTAAAAGACAAATAGATAAACTGTTCGGGAGCTAAAGGAATTCATGTTGGATTTTTCTCGAAACCCTAAAGAGCTAGGGTAGAAATTTTTTGCTTATTTATAATTTTTTTTTTATCTCATAGGATATGGGTGATATAAAAGAGCTAAAAAAAATTATTTTTTTTACAAAAGATGAACAATATGACGTGTCATTTCACTATGAGAAAGAATGATGTTTTTATCTTGTCAAATATATTATGAGGAAAATAGATATAGTTATATGATTTTATAATCCTAAAATTAAAATCACTTACGTTAATAACATCACTCATCATTAATAGTAAAAAAAAGCATGACCACGACATACTTATGCAATATTGTGATATAAAATACAAATCCATGCCCCACAATTTTTTTTTAATGTTTTGAAGTCAAAAATATTTTTAACAGATTATATAATATTTAAAATGTCGAAGAACAAAAATTAAAAAGCACCCTTAAATGGTTACATATATGCTTATGACTACTTATATACAGTTAAATTTCACTGGTATCTGAACATGTGCAATCAAATTGTACTGGAAAACAACTTTACAATAATTTTATATTCATCTAAAATATTTTAGAATTTTGATATTGTAATAATCAATTCAAAACAAATAATTATTTTTCAAAATATAAATTTGACAGTTTACCCATGAATTTAGAGTGTCCTAAAAAAGTATGAAAACAACGTGAGCAAAAGATGAATATGCAAAACAAAAAACTTGTTTTAAGCCTTGGCCAAATTGCTAAAACAAACACACAAAAATAACAGTACTAATTATAGTATGATAATGTCATCTACCATCATGAGTTACAACCAGTAGGAGCAGAGCTTTCTAATCTCTAGAAAATTCACATTAAAACTGCAAATCCAGCAAGATTAATCTAAAGTACCACAAAATGGCTCAAAAACAATGTTCAACCTCTGACCAGAAAAGAGAATTTGTACACCACGCAACGAAAGGTAACAATAAAACAGAACCAACCAACGTCTTATATGTAAGTCTGGTAAAAATGAAAGCAAACTTGCAGCAAACACACTATGCAATGTGCAGTAACCTTGAAATTTTGATCTGCAACGATCAGTAGTTCCTTTGAGCCCACCATAGAGAACTATGGGAATCAGCAGTTGCTCATGCTCTTGGCATTCAAAGTTGCAACATACGCAGCAGCTAATAACCAATTTAGCAGTCAACGTTTTTGCTTTTGAGGTACAAAACGTATTCCTTGCTTTCCAAGTTCCACGTTCATCTTCTTCCCATCATCAAAAGCAACAGACACAACAGGTGAGCCTTCAAAAACTTCTGCAACTGTTCCTATATGCCTGGAAAAGAAAATGAATTGAAAGGTCAAACTAGCAAACCTCAAAGAAAGTGGTGTACAGATTTATATGAATGCTTTGCTATACAATTTTAATATATAAGAAACAGGAAGGGAGTCACGCTAGTTAAAATCTCAAATGAAAATTGTAACTATAGATAATGTGCTCCTTTTCTTTATCCTACTATATCCCTGTGTCCAAATGCAATTCACTTGCTCTACTGATTGCTTTTTTCACATTGCTATCATGATTAATAATCCAGAATATTACAGCACTTATTTCCATTGAAGTTGCATAAATTTTAAGTATGCATAGTAGTCAGCTTGGCAATTAGCTTACCAGGTATTATCAGACGAATGATGAATTTCCACTCTCTTTCCTTTTGCATCTTTTCCCAACTTCTGCAGTATCCAGTTAGCATCCAAAAACTCATCCATTGTATTGTCTTCATACTGCTGTGATAAATTATCATCAGCCCTGGTTGATGATTTTTCTCCAAAGGCTGATGCTCTCTTTCTTTTAGACCTCTGGCCCTTAACCACGCTTTTATCCTCCTCTCCTGGAGAAGCCCATGCATTTTGACTTTCATGGCAAGGATTCTTGTACTTGAGCTTTAGGAGAGGTTTTGGATCCTTTCTCGCTGAATTTGATACTGAAGGTGTGCTATTTTTCAAGTCATTTAGGTCATCACAAGAAGCGGGCCCAGCTTCGGCATGTTTTACAGAAGCCAACTTATTGTCCCTTGTAGCAGGAGCTTCAATTCCAGCCCTTATAATAATACTACCGTCATTGCTTCCTTTACCTAAGATACCAAAAGTCTTGAGCGGAGGATAAGGTCCAGATCCAACGGCAAATTTTCCACCAACTTTGGCAGGGAAATTAGTACCTTTGGAGCTAACTTTCTTGATCTTCAATAAGTTGCTTTCTTTACCCCTATGATTTTGACCCTTTATTTGGTCCATATGATTCACCTTATGTCCTTCAGACACAGAAATGAGAGCCAAAAGAAAAGTTATTAATGAAATACTAAAAGTATGCTTCTAAAAGCAACAAATACAATATTATCTTCTTTCCCCACCCCCGACATAGAAAGTAAACAATTTACAACACGTCTTACCTTTTCCACCACCGAGTTTATCTGCAGTGTCATTCCTTTCCGAGTTCTCATTCTCACTCAGCTGAACTAGATCCTCACTACCTGATGAACAAGAAAGTATATCTAAGAATATTTTTTGATTAGGTAAATAATTTTATGAGTGTTGGGAAAATCTCCCATATAAAAGAGGTATACCAAAAAGTAGAGAATCTACACCATATAAGAACAAGCATAGAGTATTGAAGCTAATAACTTGATCTCATGAGATTTTGCTGCCTTGATCAAGCAATTTAGACATTGAATTGAAAGAATTTTACGGAACAATAGATGGACAAGCAAATCCAGAAATCGAATTTGAAAAACAAATAGGAAATAACAGAAGTCACCTACATGTTTCGACAGTGAGCACATTAGTTTACAAATTAAACCAAATTTCCTAAAATTCCTAAGGGTGTGTATGGGTGGGTGGGGTGGAAGTGTTAACATGAGAAAACAATAATAATATGCAGCATGAACTTTAATAACTTTAGGTAATATAACTTCTAATCTATAGTGGGTCATTAGCATCCTCCGAACTCTTCAGCAGCAAGTATTCACACAGAGGAAAGAATCTCAACTAATGTAGCATAGAAAATAGAGAAGGAACGCCATAGCAGAAAAAGAATCAGAAAATTTTACCAGGTAAAGAATAGATCTTCCATTCCCAGACCAAAAGAAAACCAAATATACATGTCATGTCACCTTTATTTGTACTAAATATATATATATATAAGAGAACCCTCTGGTTTATGCCAGAGTGCATCCATTAATACATCAAATTCAGCGTTCTGAGAAAAGGGAAGAAGTCTGTGAGTAAGATGTACATAAGTGCTACTCCTTTAAGATTTGTCAAGATCATTAAAAGAAACAAGTTTTAAGGCTTACATTTTTATCATATTTTAATAAATGATTGCATTTTTATGTCAAACATTGAGGACGTGACTTAAAATCTCATAAAGAAGCAAAAAAAAGGAAAAAGAAAAGAACAAACATCAGTTCACATGATAACAAAAACACAGTCCTCATATGCCAAATAGGCAATCAATTCATCAAGGAAAGGAGAAGAAATATTCTGCATAAGTTTACAACCATGCTAGTTTTTTATCTACAACAAAATGCATTCGAGAACGTACATTACAGATACTTTTGACTTCTACTAACAAAAAGCAACCCAAGAATAACGGTACTTTGTGATAATCCTTAGCCAATTTATATGTTTTTTCTTAATAACTAAGTATATTAGAGATACTTATGACTTCTACGAACAAAAAGCAACCCAAGAATCACGGTATTTTGCGATACTCCTTAGCCTTCTTATAACAAAGATATCCTTAGTTATAAGATGGCTAAGGAATATCATAAAATACCGTGATCTTGGGTTGCCCATTTTTTTTGTATAAATCATAAGTATCTGTAAGTAACTAACCATTTTCTTGTGAATACAAAGTTACCTTTATCCAAAAAAAAAAGAAAAGAGAAGAAGATATCCTTGATGGCCAGTGACATAAGCGTCAAAACTGTAGAGATAACGAGCACACCCATCTACACTTCTTCACTTAAATATCAGGCTTTTGTCAGCGGTAGGGTTTGAATCCATAACATGTGCTTAATCCATAAATCACACAATGCATCCTTACCACTTAAACCCCAAGGGAAACTAATATATGAAGTCCTTACCAAACACAGATGAAAATCTTCAAGGATAAAAAAATGCACAGAGGAAAACTATACATCTTTCTCACTGGCGGAACGTTTTGTCTAGATGAGATAACAATTTAGAAAAACATAGCTTTTGTGACATAAGTGACGCAAGCTAGTAGAAAAGCATATTTACAGTCATCATATTCTATCGAGAAGCCATGCAATAGTTTTTATAAACAAGATTAATCCAAGTAAAAAACCAGAAAGAAAGAGGAACCTGAAGACAACTTATAGATAAACATTTACCATTTGAAGTAGCCAATTCTTGCTCTTTCTGACAGCTTGAAGCATCGTACTTCGGAGAATCTGCTATGTTTTTATTCTGCGAGCCCAAATGTATAACAAACTTTGGCCCCTTAGAGGTCTTTGGCATGCTTGTTTGAATTCCAACATCATCCTCATCCAAATGCTGAGGCTTGATACCTTTCATTTGGACTGTCCTCTTACCCATGTCTCCAGTAACCTCATCAATGAATTTGTGCTTTATGACCCCTGCCTGATTAATTGAACATATACCTTTTGTAAAACTACCAACAGGAGAAGAAAAGCTTTCAAGTTCCCCATAAGCCTGCAGTTCTTCATTCTGGACATCACCAACACTATATCCACCAGATGGAGCATCCGGATGTCCTTCCTTGTGTCCAGTTAATCCCTTCTTTTTACCATATTTCTTGTAAGAAGATTTCTTTCCATACTCCTTGCTCTTTTTGGGAGATTTGCCAACTAAACCTTTAAGAGAAAACTTCAAAGATCGACTGTGTTCATTTTTTACTACAGGAGTACCATCTTCATCATCTGAGAAGGATGAAATAGAAAATATTTCATCTTCAACTGGCAACCCAGCTCCTGCCCTCAAACTTGCAATTAAATCCCTATCAGCTACATCTCTCCTCCTCCAAAGCTCCTGAACAGCATCCTCAAGATTTCTCCCCTGAGAACATTAATAGAAAACTTTTAGGATAGAGTTCTCGTTTAACTTTTCTTGTGAAATTAATCACAGCCATAAACACACCTGATAACTATTTCCACGGCATGTTGGACATGCATACGGCAAATTTCCATCCACTTGAAACTGCAAATATTTTTCATCACTGCAAAGCAAATACCCAATTTCAAATTAGAACTTCCAACGGAGTCCCTCTCTCAAAGCTTCACTGAAGTACAATCAAGGTTACATAATTTAACAGCTATATATCGCATGAATGACATGAGAACAAATTGGCAAACTACAACGATGTCAAGATATTTATATAGTGAAGGGAAGAAGAGGAGCTTTCTGGAAATTAGAACTAGCGCCCTGTCAACTGACTCGACTCTTAACAAGGCAGAATGCAGCATAAACTGCAGTCCCCAAAATGCCATTCAGTTATTCAATGAAATAATAATAGTCAGTCGGGAATGAGGAGACTTCTAGGAAACACTTTTTACATTTTAACTTTAAAAAATCTGCTGCAAGAACACCACAAAAGGCATAGTATGCTGTCAATAATAAATTTGTGATATTTATTTCCAGAACAGAAACGTCTAACCTAATGCACATCCATATTTGCTCCCATGTAAAGAAACAAAATTGCACTTCATGAGAAAGGCACCATAGCAAAACCAATTAATTAATTATCTTAAAAGCAATATCTAAGATAAACCTGATGCCATCACATTGGCAGTGCACCCAGCGCTGGCACATGTCACAGCAGACCATAGGTGTTGATTCAGAATCTCTATAGACCTACATTACAAAAAAAATAATTAATTTCATTCCCCATAGATATATGAGAAGAAAAACACTCGGTTGCTTTGGATAGGCAATGAAAGCAAAAGGCATCATGTTAATACTAGCAGACAAATTAGCAACTCCACATTAGTAAATCACCATAGTACAAAGAACCTCCTTGTAAAATTAAACAAAGAGAAGCTCAGATAACATAAACAGCCATAATATCTACCTTCAAACAAACAGGACAGTAGTTTCCCTTCTCAAATAATCTTCCACAGGCATCACAACAAGTGTATCCTAAAAACCACCTGTCAGAGATCAAGATATCAATAGTTCAGAGGCCATAGAATATGCAATGCCATAAATGAATTTCATAGGATATGCAAAGCCTTTAATAATTTACATAGGATATGCAATGCCCTAAATGATTTCCATACATCAGAATATGTAGCGTAAACTAAATGGAACTCCTACATGATGCTCCTCTCCAAAGATGCAGAAAAAACAACATAGAGAAGTACACAAATAAGCATTTCAACTAAAATGAAGTTAATTAGAGTGTTCAATTAACGTTTATAGCAAAACTTGAATCTAAGAGAATGTCCCACTAGCTGCTCATGGTCCCATACTACATACCTCTTGCTCAGTCCGTTTCCTGGAACATTAGAACAACAGCTGTGGCACTTTGTGTGTTTAGGGCATAAATAAGGCCCACTGCTAATGTTCTGCACATCCCAAAAACAACTTAGTATAATCTACTTTTATCATTATACAAAACTAAAAGAGTAAGACACGAGAATTCACCTTGTGTGGAGGCTGCAGACAGTAACAGTGATAAGCTGCATCACACCTTTTGCAAAACATGAACTTGTTTGGGTCTCCAGTTCTTTGACAGCCCTACATAAAACAAGGAGCATAGCATACATACAGTCAGTATATAATGAGCAATATAGTGAGCATAAGAACACGAGTTGAACAATAACAGACATCAAATAGCCAAAAATACAATAATCACATGAGCATGATCCAGAATGCATGTTCAATTATCAAACAGAAGAGTTGCTTATGCAAAAGAGTTTCTTTGAAAAGAAAAAGAGCAGCATATAGTTTCATTTATAATCCTACTCGATAGGGACACTTCCTCACCCACTTCCTTACACATGTAACACCAACTGACACAAAGAACGCATACCTTCCTTGGCACCCTTAAGATCCATATTGCTATATGGAAAAAGTCATCTCCTCCCTAACCAATAGTTTCTCATAAAAGGACTTCACATAGAACATCCCATTATTTCCAAACCCAACCTCCAAAAATTGGAATCAAAGAACATTCCATTGTTTCCAAACCGCTCCAAACATTGGAATCAAAGAACATTCCATTGTTTCAAAACCCCACCTCCAAACATAGAAATAATCAACTGGATTGACTTGTCTATGTAGTAAGGCTAGGATTCTGTATATCCTTAAAAATTCTTGTTCTTTTTTTCTTCAAAGATAACACTTTCCTTTGTATGCAAGTTCCCATCTTCAACTGCTGCTGATTTTGAGCTTCTTTTTCAACTTTATGTATAGTTACTACAGCAATTTAATATTAAACTGAATGCTGCAAAATAATTGTTCACAAAAAAAGAAAATGAAAGCAACTCACCGTATAGTTGTCATGTTTTGGGCAGCTATTAAAAAGTAAAACCAACTATGTTTCATTGTATTTTTTAAATGAATCAAAAGTTTTACCTCACAAAGCCGGCATGAGGGACATGTCCATGAGCTCCAATGGAAGAGATCTGTTGGAAAGGGCACATTGGCAAAAGTACATCACTAGGAAAGGGCACATTGGCAAAAGTACATCACTAGGAAAGGGCATATTGGCAAAAGTACATCACTAAAAACTGACAAATCTTGTGGCCTATGAGAGTACCTCTATGTTGACCCCACACTTTCAAGCAGCTTCGGTGATACTTCTTACCGCAACATTTGCATGACATAAATTTCCTTGCACTTTCACCTCCTTCATTTTCACCGGAAAAGCATAGCCTACACATCACTTTGACATTCGATAGACCCTGTTCTTCTCCACCAACATCTTTCATGGAGCCCTGAGGGCAGATATTTATTTATAAATAAAAAGATTGAATACTATCATGTAAAAATTTATGATTCCAGCTCCCAGCCTCCACAACCCCAAGAGAAAAAGAAATGAATAACAGTAGAATGAGCAATGAGAAGGGGTTATAACAAGTTCAGTAACAGCGCCCCTATAGAATACAAAAATTCTGCTGGTGAGTGACAACAATTAGGTTGAATGTGAGGAACGACAAAAGAAACATCCCAACCATTATTTAGATTTTATATCGAAATGACTTCTACATTCAAATTCATTAAAATCTATGTTTTTTAGAACTGCGGTTCCTAACCTCCACATCTCCAGACTCAAACCGTCTAGCAAAATCCTCAGCCGCCATAGATGCAGCAGCAGCTTTCTTCTGCAAAGCAGCACGCTTAATCTGAGCTGAAGCAATAGCAGATGCCTCCTCACCATCCCCGCCGCTTCCACCACCCCCATCACCAACAGGCGCCTCTGGGGGCGGAGCAACATTAAGCTTGGGCACCTTAACCTGAATTGTGGCAGGTTGTTTGGCCTTAAGACCCCATGGGTCCTTTATAAACTCCTCAAGTCTAGTCACATCTCTGAAGAACTCATTTTTACCCTTTGAAAAACCATGTGGGCAGAAGCAGATCTTTCGGCTGCACCAAAAAATACCAAAACACTCAATTGGGTCAGAAATTCAAAAGAAAACAACAAAACACAAACCCAAGAAACCGATTTCACATCCATTGATAAAGAAAGAAAAAGAGAAAGCTAACAGATCCTCACGCTACACCAAAAAATCACCAAAACCCAGATCCAAAAACGCTTGATGCGTCATAAAAAACCCCACTAAACCACTTAAAACCATAAAACAAAGAAACCAATTTGCCTTGATAACAGAGAGTAGCCAGAAGAGTGATTAAACAAAGTGAGAAAATAAACAACATTTTAAATAAATAACTCAAAAATAAAGGAATCTTGAAAAGAATGTAGTACCAGGTGATTGGGCAAGCTGTGTGAAAGGCCATACGCGAGATAAAGATTTTTGTAAATGAGGAATTTTGGGAGAAATCCCTTTGGGGGAAGAGAGAGAGAGAGAGAGAGAGAGAGAGAGAGGAGGGGGTGTCTTATGAGAGTTTGGGTTTGTTTATAGGTGAGGCAACCATCGATGTTTTCAAAATGTTGATAGAATCCATGATTTGTATAGAAGTGTAAAAAAAGGTCAAAAATTCAAAAAAGGAAAAAGATTTAATAGGAGAAGAGAGTTCCAAAAAAATACATATAGGCATTGTGAGTAGATTTTCATGATTTATTTTGACCATAAAAATTTGATCAGATTTAGAAATCTGGTTTTTAAATATTTTCAAGTTCCCACCCTTCGGGGTGGCCGGTTTGAGTCTGGGACTTCCATGTTGGAGGTCTCAAGTTCGAAACCCCTTGCAGGCGTAAGCAAGGGTTTGCCTTCTTGGTCGAGCTTGTCGCACCAGGCAAGCCTGGTGCGGGTTACCTCTCCTATGTGGTTTGCGAGTTATTGCATAGGAGTGGGGGTTTTACCCTCTGCGCACCCAAAAGGTAGTTGCTACGGGTTTCCGTTATCATAATATTTTTTTTTATATTTTCAAGTTCCCACCAATTTTTGGGGTTTTTTTTGGAACATGACTAATACTACGAGTCAAGGGTCATAAATCTGTTTCTAGCTAAAGATCTAACTGAAAGTCCAAGCAATACAAGGTTAGCAATGACCGGTGTAACATCTCGCAACTAGAAACGACTAGAAAAGAGGTTAAAATCTGAAAAATGTTTATTTTTGAAAAGAAAAAGAAAAATCTGGAAATAGGAAATTGAGTTTTGGTCATTTTCAAACAACTAGTTTTAGGAATAGTTCCAGATATGGTTGGAAAGCCCCCATAATAACTTTCCAACGCCGCCGAGTTCGCATGAATTTGATATCTTATGAATGAGTTATGTCTTTCGGAAGTTGGACTGTTGGATTAAGAAAAGTCCAATCCGGATTTGGGAAGGGCAAAGTTGTCTTTTCCTTACCCAGGAATTAATTGGGATAAAATCAGACCTTTGTTCAGTTTTAGCAAATGGAAAACATACGCTAGGGCTTGGAGAAGAGAGAAAGGAAGAGAAAAGAGGAGCAAAATCAGAGCGCTTAAGCTTTACGCATAGTATTCATTGGGGGTGATCCCTAAAATGTTACGTGAGATCGCATAGTGTTGGGCTAGTTCACCCACACGCCAATCTTATTTCAATTTAGCGAATCTAAGATATTTGAACGTTAAGAAAGTGAATTCTTGAAGAACATTGTTGAAAAATTCGTGTTTTCTGGTGAATTTTCGAGCTAAATCTATTACGTATTGAGGGTATTAATGATCCAGAGTGTTTGGAGAAAGAATCATGAAAGTTTAGAGGGTTTAGAGAAGAAAAACGAAGGTCACAAATCAGAGATTTTCCGGGCAAGGGCTGGGGCGCTGCGCCTGCCAGAGCGCCACAAAAGTTCTTCTAAACTTTGGCCTCTGGCTCTCCGTGCCTCTCAGAGCGCCATGGACGTCAGTTCTCCCCATTCTTTTTCCACCATTTCGTACTAGTTCCTAATTGATGTACCTATGTTTCTTAGTTGATTCCAACACTCCAAGGTACATCTAAACACGATGAAATCATTCATAAACATGAGATCATGAACCATGAATCCATAATCCAATTCAAGGAGAGTTAAGATCAAAGTCAAAGAAGTTAAGAGTCAAGTCTAGAAGTTAGGAAGCAAGTCGAAGCAATGTTCTTAAAGGTTTTCAAGAGTTTTTAGCAACGTTTTAACTTTGTTCTTAAGACTCAAGTTTCAAGTTAAGTAAAGAGTAAAGAGTTAAGTTTATTTATCAAAAATTACAAGAGAACTAAGTATTCCCTAAGAGTTTATAAATGTTTTCATATTTAAACTCAGAGGAAACTAAGATCTGCCAAAAGAGTTTTGAGCAAGAAAAGGGAACATTGATTCCAAGAGAGCTTTTGAAGCTAAGTGTTCGAGCAATTACCTCAACCATAGAAAGAAATTGTTTTAAGAACACATGAGTTAAGTATATTTTTGGAATAGTATTGAGCACCGACATGGAAATGTGAGTTCATTTAACTCAAGTCTCCATAAACCATGTACACATCATGAATATCAAAGGGTCATACTTTTAGATGATCACTTAAGTTAAACTAGTGGATCCACTAAGTTAAGTAAGGTCCTATACCGATGGCAAGGTATAGGATGGTCCTCGACAGCGTGAGATAAAACATTGTACCATCACTTAGACTCAGCAATGGTTGTCGACTGAAGAATCTCCCACAAAAGTTATAATATTTTAAATGAGTAAAGTTAAGTTTGTTATTGGTTTATCTTTAATGAACCAAGTGTTTTCAGTTGCTTTAAAGTTTTATATATATATACACATATATATATGTCGCATGTATTTTTACTGTTTTATATTGAGTTGAGTATCCATGAGTTGAGTAGAGTCAAGGTAAGTGCTTCCTTCTTACTCTTTTTCAAAGCTTAAATTGTTTTAGCATTCGAACTCGCATACTTGTACATTCATTGTACTGATGCCGGTTGGTCTGCATCATCTTATGATCCAAGCGCAGGTAACTTTGGTCAGATCCGGCGTACCGTTGGTCCAGTGAGCAGCTCAGAGAGTCAGTTGGTGAGCCTCCCTTCATTCCGGAGGACATATTAATCATTTAGTTATTGTTTTAAGTTATCAGTTGTAAGGATGATTGGGGGTACTATCCCAACATCCCTCTTTATTTTAGAGACTTCATAGACAGATAGTATCAATTTCTTTAGTCTAATCATTTCACTTGTAAATGATTAAAGACTTAAGTTGTCATTTTGACTTAAGTATTACTTTTAAGTTATTTCTTGAGTTATCTCTTGTGTTTAATTCTTCCGCTGAGTAAGTAAGTCAGGCTAAAGGTCTGCTCAAAGCCAGCAATGGTCTTTGAGTGCCGGCTACGTCCAGGTTGTAGGCTCGGAGCGTGACAACCGGCTTGGAAATATATTATAATGAAACTAACGAAAGTTCAATTTTGATTATTTTCTTGAATCAAGCTGGCATGAGAAAATGGAGTTGTAATCCACAAGATGAGAGAAAGGAACAAGTAAAAATCAAAAGATTGATCATAGAAGAATTAAATTTTGATTCTCAATTCCTGTGAGGAACAGAAAGTTTAAAGAGCTTACATAGTTCATTATACGAGTCATCATCATCAATTGACACTCACGGGAACATTTGTATTTGCAGCAGTTACGCACATGGCCTCAACAACAAACTTTCCTTGTAGAAATAATATATTTGATGTATCAAGCAAACAAATCCGAACCTTTGCATACAAAAACACCTGTGTCAAGCTACTCCAGGGTTAACTTTCATTTAATGGAGAAAAAGTATCAGTTATGGTCTGAATAAAAGCTAGAAACTTATATTTTAGATAGAAAAAGCATAAGAAACTTAAAATTAATTTCACCATAGCCATATGGAATTGCCAGTTGTGTAAATTTTGTCAAGTTCTCCAAATTGTTTCCCCCAATTTGAAGTATTACACCAGATGCAAAGAATCTATCCTGGTATATTAGAAAAATTCATAAATGTCATATTTCACTACACGATATAAACACACAAGCATGAGTCAGTGACAAGTTGCTCTTAAAGGTCCAAGCCACTAGCGCAATAACATATCAGTACAAGAAAATTCCTTTTGCAGATCTACCCAGGTTACAAAAATATATCTGGGTCCCCTTCTTTGCCACGTATGTAAAACCAAAGAAATTTATATTCTTTTCTAGGAAACCACCTAACTGGGAGAAGGGTCTTAGTGTAGGGAAATGAAAATGACCAACTAATTTGGTTGACTCAACCCCTTGAAAGACAACCCAAAGATTCTATAGTTATAGAAATATAAAGAATATGATTCATCGAATTAGTTAATCAAATACAAGTGTCAGGTGCCATCTATAGAAGTGTTAACTGTAAGCTTCTCTTTGTAGAATGTCAGATTACATCATGTAGAAAGAAGGTAAGTAACCACAGAGACATACATCCAATATTTCTTTTTTATCATAAAATTGGGTCTAGCAGCAAGAGGATCTAGATCAAAGAAAGTCTGTATGATTTTTGTAATTCTTTTGGGAAATTATCATTTGACCCCTCTCGATATGTTTGATCAGTGTAACAAATCGAAATTTGGAAAAAAGGAGGAAAATAAATTTCTGAACTAAAATCTGGTTTACGGGTCCCATCTACGGACTGTTGGAGGTTTTACGGGTCGTAGATGGCAATAGTAGGAAGTAGGTAAAGTAATTTTCTAAAATTGAGTCCTAATAACCATTTTACGATTCACCAGGACGGTCAGTCAACTATTGTATGAGTCGTAGGTGAGTCCCGGACTTTGTGAAATTTTAAGGGGTAAAGTTGGTTTCTATTGTTGGCATGTACAGATCGTCGGAAAACCTACGAGCCATACATGGGTTCCGTCAAAAGTTGATCCAAAATAATAGTTTGGACTATAGGTGAGGCTCGACAATTATTTTTAAATGGCTTTTGGGTTTTCTCCTAAATGATTTAACCAAGAACTATTTCGTTTAACCTACTGCCCTAAGCTATAAACGTTTTAAGCCCCAAATTTACCCATTTCAACTCATCTCCTAAATTTCCTAAGCTTGACCAAATTCATCACCTCAATTCTCTCAAGTCTAAAGAGAAAGAAAAAGAGTTAGTGTTCCATTCAAGTCTCCAAATTCTCCATTTTCTTGAGCTTAAAGGATCAAAGTATGTGTGTATTGTATTAAGAGAAAATGATCAAAATGATCCCTAATGTATAGAGGTTACATTATTTGATCCTTAATATATTCCACATGATCCATATAGTCCTTAATATATTATAAAAGATGCTCAATATGGTCTTTGCCCTAAAAGTAACACATACATCCGTCAAATTTATCTGATGGCCCCACTAAAATATAAAGTACCCAAAGCTCCCATTCTCCTTCATCAACTGAAAAGCTTAGCCGAATTATTCCTTTCTCTTTCTTCTCCCTTCTCTGTTCTCCGGCGATCACAATATTCTAAGCTATTTGCACCGCCGCTCGTCCACCGGCCAACCGCTGCTCTCCGTCCCTCCTACATCCCTACTCTGTTCCCTCTGTTCTAGCCTATATTCAAAGATAGGATTTCTAAAAAAATTAAATTTATTGTTTAGTTAGATAATTAGTTTGTTTTTCACATTTTTAGGCAACGTTTTTCAGCTTTTTAAATTTGCCACAATGGGCTTATGAAGCATCAACCAAGCAAATTTCATGTCAAGATATTGTAAAAACGAATTCACAATTTATATAAAACAAGATGAACTCGTTCCTTAAACTTTTTATCAAAAGCATAACTTAATAGTTTGAACCACATTTTTGAGATGTAATATTCTTAAAAGTGGAAGAGGGATCCGGCTGAGGCAAAAATAAACGCACAAGCTCTCTGGAACAAAGCTTTTGATGGGAAGACATGGAGAATGAGGGAGATAGTAAAGATTTTGATTGTTTTATTTATTTAGTGAGGTCGGTGTTAAATTTAACAGAGGGATTTGTTATGTTTAGGGAAAAGAACCAAAATGAGTACATTCTATAATACATTAAGTACCATATGCATCATGTGAAATATTTTAAGGATCAAAATAAAGCAATTCCTATATATTAAGGACCATTTTGATCATTTTCTCAGTGTATTCACCGATGGAGTACGTTCCTCCATAGGTCCCTAAGGATTTCAACTTCTCAACTAAATTTCCAATTAATAAAATTAGGGTTTCACTTCAATGAATATGAGTTTCATTCAATTATGACTAATTAAGCCTTCTAATGTATTATGTAATGTGAATATATGATATTTAGTTGAAATTGCATTTAACCATGCCTAATTTAGGCTTTAACCTGTGAACTATGAATTATGAAGATATGCATGTTTTCATAAAGTTATTGTAAACGAATGATGGTTTGAAAAGAGAGTATTGATGTTATTGTGAAAGGATTTCTCACTTACTATGATGATCATGATTGTGAAAGGTACTTCTCACAAATGAATTCACATTGGTGTAAAGTTTTCTCATTTATGTTGAATAATGTTTTTTTTGGAACCCAGGATATAACCCACAGCCGCTACAACCTCTGTCACAGCCTCTAACCTTCGGGTGAGCACTTTGTGCGCACTGGGTAAACTTCCCACAGTGTAATAGCCTGCAAACCACATAGGGGATGTAAACTGCACTAGGCAAGCCCTATGCAACAGACTCAACTCAGAAGGCATTGAGGGGATTGATCCCAGGTCATCCGTGTGGATAACCACCCTCCAAACCAACTGAGTCATCCCGAAGGACTGCTGAATTATGTTTAAGTAGTTATTCTATGTTTTGATCTTCATAGTTGTGGATTGATATTGATCACTGCCTAACCTATGTTAAAATGATATTTGACTTTTATCCATTCTGTTGGGATTTGGACTTACCACTAAGAGTGCTTTTATGTGGAAGCTCAAAGAGGGTAGTCTGTAATAGCAACCTCTAGTCCCAGGTTATATACCCGTATGATTTACTTAAATGAACTAGCTAGTGTTCCACTTCAACAAATGATGATATGTACAGATTCTACCTTGGCAAGTAGTTTGCCCTTCTTTTGGTATGAGGGATATACCAAATTCCATGATATGGTCTTATTGTTAGTTAAAGCTAATATCTCACGAAATGACTATGTTTTCTTCATAGCTTTTCTCATGTCCTTTATGTTAATATACTTGACCATGCTTTCATGATTTTCATGTGATCTCTTCTTTACAACTTTAAACGTCCCATTATGATCATGCCTACTCGTTTAAAGTTACTTATGTTATCATGCCTATGTTTATGCATATTGCCTCACAAATGTACTAATGCATACTTTTACCTATAGTGTTTCACTAATGTAAGGTCCAAAGCTCCTATCTCCCATACTCATGACTAGTGATCCTTCATAAATTTTGAATTGAAGTCCTCATGCTTAGAGGACCAAGACTCTTTATTACTTCATGTCATTTTCATTTCAAATTTTGTACGTGATGTATGGTAACGTCTCAATCACCTCCCTTATGATGTATTAGATGATCTTGAGACTTTATGTTAACATTCTGCTTTTGTTATACTCTTTTATGCGAAATGCTACCTTTTAAACTATGTTGTCTCTATTATCTTGTATGATGTATGCTAAGTGGTTTGTGTAAGGACTCTCAGGTCCTGATACGTCATGTCACGTCTAGGGTGTACTATGGGTCGTGACAATCAATGTATGAGACTAGACTTGAAACAAGATTAAAAAGTTAAAAGAGTTTTGGAATTTTGAAAACTTTTGTTGAAATTGGTAACGTAACATATAGGATATTGTTCATCTACAACAGAATCATAAGACATGGCAAGTTATTTAGGTCAAGTTGAATCCTTAAAGGATAAATTTGATTATCTTATGTCTTCTACCGACAAATTGGATAATTAGGAAACACAAAGAGACAGGTTTTTTATAGTTTTGGTTTTGATTGGGTTGCGAGCAGACCTAACCTCATTGCATGACCAAATTCTCTCAAGCCTATTTGTTCGTACCTTGGAAGAAGTATTCACAAAATTACTATGCATCACATCTACACCACTAAAGGTAAATTCATGTGATGTATCTTCATTGCTATCCAAACTAACAATTTTCAAGGTGGATATAAAAAAGGAAAAGGGAGGGTCAATAAACATTGCACTCATTGTAATAAGGGAGAAAATGTAAGAAAGGAATGTGCGCTTCTCTCCTTAAATTGCAATCATTGTAATAAGGGAGGGCATGTAAGAGAGGAAGGTCGACTTCTTCATGGTAAGCCTCCATGCAATAATGATTGTCCTCGACATACAACAAATATGGCTCCCTACACTTGAAGTCATGGATGGATCATCTTAACACTATAACTGGATCAAACTAAAATAACTACCTTCAGTACCAAACATCAAGGAAACAATCATCAACATCTTCAGTTGCTTGCACAATACAACAACTCATTTGCTTATGTAGCACAATCTTCATCTCAAAAATAATAGATTCTTGATTCCTTCTAACCACATTTATAGTAGCAAAAATATTCTCTCTACTCTCCTCACTACACCCCTTCTACCCTCTCTATTGTTACTTTGGCTAATGGATCAAACACTATAGTAAAAGTGATAGGTATAGCTCATCATTTGCCTTCCATAGCTTCAACATCAGTCTTTATTGCACCGCAGTGTCCATATAATCTAATTTCCATTAACAAATTAACGAAAAACTAAAATGTGATGCAACATTCCTTGATGATTTTGTTTTTGTGCAGGATTAGAGTATCGCATAGATAATCGAAAAAGAACATGAGTCACAAGGATTATACCTGCTCTCTATTCCAACATCACATGTTGCTTTGACTTCCACTGCTTCTTTTGAATTGCTCCATCGCCAAATGGGTCAACCGAGTCTCTTAAAATTGCATAATATGGTCCCCAAATTATCTAATTTATCTTTGTTAGAATGTGAGTCGAGTCAACTTGGGAAGCACAAAGCCTTATTCCCAAAGCGTGACAATAAGGCTACCTCTATATTCAAATTGTTCATTCAAATATATAGGGTCCAAGTCGTGTCAGTTCTTCCTTAGGCTTTCATTATTGTCTTTATTGATGACCACTCTCAGTGCATGTGGTTATTTTTAGTGAAAATGTATCTGAGTTAATCTCTATCTTTTAGAATTTTTTTGTTGAAATTCACAATCATTTTGGTATATCCACTAATAAGAAGTTAAGCAGTGATAACTCATGAAAAATACTTCACTACTTCTCTCGACCAACAAGTACTTATCTCTACAGATGTTAAAACTTTTTCCGAGACTTCTCTACATTTTTCTCCTAATGTGAAAAATCAAAAGGCTATATCAGTACTTCTTGTTCCAACCCCAGCTCCACCTCTAACTCTTAAGGTCTATCGTGATGACCTCATCCTCTTTCTCAGCTTGCTAATTCAGTTAGTATTTATAGCTCTATTCCAATTACACAAAGCAATCCTGGTAACTTATTACCTCGTCCAACAATGTCTTCTGCTTTGGTCGAGCACTTATCAAATGTTCTTCCCATTGATGTTCGCAAAGGTACTAGAACTACTATTAATCAAAACTCATGTTGATGTTTATTTAAGGAGTTAATACCTCAGATGGTCACTCAACTATGGACTCTTCTCTCAGAAAGTCACTCAACTTTCAATTTTCACTCAAAAGTCACTCAACTATGCACTTCTTTCTCAGAAAGTCACTCAACTTTGAATTTTAACTCAAAAGTCACTCAACTATCCACTCTTTCCTCAGAAAGTCACTCTTTATTTAACTTATCATCGTCTGCTACCTTCATATCATGCCTTCATCACTAGCTTATCAAGCATCAAAGTTCCCTAAGACTATGGCCAAAGCAATGTTTCATCCAAGTTAGAGATGATTGAAGAGATGATTATTTTGCATGATAATGGTACTTGGGAGCTTGTTCTTTTACTTAACTAAAGGCAAAACAACAATACGTTGTCGTCCGATATTCCCAGTTAAGGTGGTTCGGATAAAGTTATCGATCGTCTCAAAGCGACAGTGGTTGCAAAGAGATACACTCAAAATTATGGCATTGATTATGGAGATACTTTCTTACTAGTTGCTAAGATGGCTTAAGTTTGTCTTCTCATCTCTATGGCAACAATGAATCATTGGCCCCTTTTTAGTTGTACATAAAAAATGCATTCCTACGTGGAGAAATTGTAGAAGCAATATATATTGAGCAACCACCCAAGTTTGATGCTCAATAGGAGCCTAGACCAGTTTGTAAGCTTTGCCGATCTACATGGTCTCAAGTTGCCTCCTAGAGAATGGTCTAGTCATTTTTTAGCAGTTGACCAATAGTTTGGAATGATTCGAACATAAGTTGATCACTCTGTTTTTTATAGGCATTCATCTTATGACAAACATATCTTTTAATTGTTTATATTGATAATATTGTTATCACATGAGATGATCATAAGGTATTGCTAAATTCAAATAACACCTTTCAAGTCACTTTTAGACTAAGGACTTAGGCAAGCTGAAATACCTTTTGGGCATTGAAGTGGCACAATATGGCGATGGAATTGTTATTACACAAAAATATGCCTTAGACATTTCGAAGATGATGGTACGTTGTATTGCAAACAACTGGGCAGTCTCATGGATCCAAATACTAAGCTTATTCCACAACAAGGGAGCCATGAAAAGATCCTAATAGATATCGGAGACTTGTTGGCAAACTTAACTATCTCATGATCATGCGAATAAACATCTCATTTTTTGTTAAGTGTAGTAAACCAGTTTTGCAATCACCTTGTGATGGTCACTAGAATGTAGTGATTCGCATTCAGTGATATATCAAAAGCTCTCCGGGATAAGGTTTATTGTATGAAGACAAGGGAACACCAACATAATTGGATATTCTAACGCAGATTGGGTGGGATCTCCTTCTGACAAGTAGTCCACTTCAGGTTATTGTGTTCTAATTGGAGGCAATCTAATATCTTGGAAAAGTAAAAAGTAAAGTTGTTGTAGCTAGATTAAGCGCAAAAAGAGTATTGAGCTTATGTGGTTGAGACTTCTCCAAGAACTGAAGATGGAAGGAGTTAAACCAATGACATTGATTAGTGATAACCAAGTTGCACTACATATCGCTCCTAATGTTGTGTTTCATGAAAGAACGAAGCACGATGAGATAGATTGTCACTTCATTCGATAAAAGATCGAGTCTGATACATCACCACAAATTTTGTCAACTCAAAGGACTAACTAGCAGATATTTTCACAAAATCACTTTGAGGATCTAGAATTAACTTTATTTGTGGCATACTAGGAGCATATGACTTACATGTTCCAACTTGAGGAGGACTGATAATTATGGTATAATTGAATAAAGTAGATATGAGAATATTTAAAGATGGTATAATTTTTTTTTAACATCGGCGAAGTTTTAAAGGTGGTATAATTAGATAGTGTAGATATGAGGATATTCTCTAATCCCTTCACTTTGCGGTTAAACAGATCATATAATATTTTATTAGTTTCTTTCCTTATTTACATTATTCATAACAACTATTCAATTCCATCAACATGAGAAAATAATTGACGAATTCAATTCCCAAACCGCTTCTTCTTTTTCTTCTTCTTCTAATTTCTTAGAGTTAAATGAGTTAAATTTACTTGTACATAACATTTGCAATAATTGGGCAAAAATCAAGGTTTTTGAAGAGAGTCTGAGATAGAAAAATCAACAAATTTAAAATTTGAATATTAAAAGGAATTAGATTCTTGAAATTAGTGAAACTTATAGAAGAAAAATACCAAAATTGGAAGAGTGTAACATTTTAGAACATCCAAAGTAGGAGTATCACACAATTTAGGGCAGATTGGTCATTATTCTATACAATTATCACAAGTTTCAAAATTTTACATCCCTGATAAATTAAACTTGGATACATTGTTTTTCTCTCAAACTAATTTCTTAACAATCACTTGGGTATTTTTATCTGCCACTCACATATTTGACGAGTCAAAGTTAAACGTTCTACAATCCATGCTCATTCAGATAATGTCAAAAGAGATGGAATGGATAACGTATTGCAAGAAAAAAAAAAAACTCATTCAATCTTCCTATTTTTTCTCCACATAATCTACCTTTCCAGCTTCCACTAAAATAAAATATCACCTAAACAACTTCTATTTTTTCCATTGCTTAGTATCTTAATCATATTCCAGATATCAAAAATCTCAACACCACATTCCTACACTGAATACTTAAAAAAAAAAATACTGGAACAAACAGAAATTAGGAACTCGAGAACGAAACAACAAAAACTAAGAAAAGCACAAAATTAATACCAACAACTGAGAAGAAAGAAGAATATAAAAAGGTATGCATAAGTAAAATAGGGTTTAGGATTTTACAGGGAAGCAGAGAGATGAATCCAGTGGCGGTTAGAGAAGACTAAACGAATAAAATAGTCTCTCTACATATATTATTACCCTTTTTCTTACTTCCGTTTTCTTAATTTTATTTTAATAAACTACTGAACATGAATATATTGCACCGAATATATGAGGCAAAAAAATAAACTGAATTTTTTATGTTAGAAATATTATCTTGACGTAGTGGATAAGGTAGAACGCCTTTAAAGATAATAATAAGATATTAAGTTGAGATCAATATAAAAATAAATAAATTTTTTTCATCATGGCTTGAAAAAATACTTTTAGTAAAAATCTTTTTTATGTCATTGAATGATCAGAAAGAAAAATAAGATCATCTCAAGATGGTCATTCTTATCAAGCATATTTTGATTGGATCAATTTAAGGGCAATAACATTTGAAATCTATTTATGAGTATAATTTTTCATTGTTTAAAATTATTTCACAATTAATCTTTGCGATAAGAATATAATTAATGATATCTTTGAAAAAACCTTTTATCATATTTTGGAATAAGTTAAGCAAATAGTCACTTATATTTGGAAATTATTTAGTAATGTTATAAATTGTAATTGTTTTAATATTGATATTATAAAACAATATATCATAATAAAATATCATTTGAATAATTTCGAAAAGTGAAATCAAACATGTATTATCAGATAAATGCATTAGAACTATTCAAGAACTAGAGGAGTTCATATTGGATTTTGCCACAGAATCCTAAGGAGCTACGGTAGAAAAGTTCTCTATACTAATTACTTATCGTTTAAAAGAGCTAAAAAAATATATATAACATGTCTTCTCATTAGGCGAGAGAAGGATATTTTAATTTTGAGGAAAATGAGAATAACGGAGAGATAAATCCTAAAAAGGAAACAAAAGTGACATTACTAGAAAGTTTCCTAAATACGAGTGATTATTTAGAAAATTTACTCACATTGCGTGTCTTAATGTGATTCCTTGAAAAGGGTCGTGTTCACAATTGAGATTATGGCCCAGCCCTAATAGTGATTATTAGTATAGACGATGGAATAGCTCATGATAACCGTCTACTTAAATAATATCATTCACTATTAACAATTAAAAAAAACATGATATTATTATACGAAAATATAAATATTTACCCCACAAACGATATTTTTGACCACTTATATAATGATTATTTAAGTTGTATAAAGATTGCATCTGAAATATTTCTAGTTTGAATTTAGGATCGAATAACACACTAATATAACCAATACAATGATACAAAGTGATTAGATCACGAATTTCAGAAAGTGTAGAGAAATACTGTGTGTGTTTCAACAAGTATAAAAATCTCATCTACCCTGAGTTACAACCAGTAGGAACAGAGCTTTCTAATCTCTAGTAATTTTACATTAAAACTGCAAATCCAGCAAGATTAATCTAAAGTAACACCAAAAGGCTCAAAAACTGTGTTCTACCTCTGACCAGAAAAGAGAAATCTGTACACAGGGAAACAAAAGGTAACAACAGAACAGAACCAACCAACGAGCTTACATGTAAATCTGGTAAGCAAAGGTTAGTTAAACACATGATGCAGGGAGCAGTAACCTTGAAATTTGACCTGCAATGATCATGCTTCTGGGAATCAGCAGTTGCTCATGCTCTTGGCATCAGAAATGATAACACACGCTGCATCTAATAACCAATTTTAATAGCAGTCAACGTTTTTGCTTCTGAGATACAAAACGTATTCCTTGCTTTCCAAGTTCCAAGTTCTTCTTCTTCCCATCATCAAGAGCAACAGACACAACCGATGACCCTTCAAAGACTTCTACCACTGTGCCTCTATGCCTGAAAAAGAAAACGAATTGAAAGGTCAAACTAGCACACATCAAAGCAAGTGTGGTACAGATTTATATGAATACTCATCTATTTGATATTTAAAAGCCCAAAAGTGGTCCTTTTCTTTATCCTACTATATCCTTGTATCCTAATGCAATCCACTTGCTCTATTGATTGCCCTTTTCTCATCGCTGTCATGATTACTAATCCAGAATATCACAGCACTCAGTTCCATTAAATTTGCATAAATTCAAGTATGCATAGTAGTGAGCTTGATGTAACAATAAGCTTACCAGGCATTATCAGACGAATGATGAACTTCCACTCGCTTTCCTTTTGCATCTTTTCCCAACTTCTGCAGTATCCAGTTAGCATCCAAAAACTCATCCATTGTATTGTCTTCATACCGCTGCGATGAATTATCATCAGCCCTGGTTGATGCTTTTTCTCCGAAGGCTGGTGCTCTTTTTCTCTTAGACCTCTGGCCCTTAACCATGCTTTTATCCTCCTCTCCCGGGGAAGCCCAGGCATTTTGATTGTCATGGTAAGGATTCTTGAACTTGAGCTTCAGCAGAGGTTTTGGATCCTTTCTCGTTGAATTTGATACTGAAGGTGTGCTAATTTTCTCGTCATTCAGGTCATCACAAGAAGCAGGCCCAGCTTCGGCATGTTTTACAGAAGCCAATTTGTTGTCCCTTGTAGCAGGAACTTCAGCTCCAGCCCTTGTAATAACACTACCGTCATTGCTCCTTTTTCCTATTATACCAAAAGTCTTCAGTGGAGGATGAGGTCCAGATCCATCAGCAAAATTTCCACCAACTTTGGCAGGGAAATTAGTACCTTCTGAGCTAACTTTCTTGATCTTTATTAAGTTGCTTTCTTTACCCCTATGATTTTGACCCTTTATTTGGTCCATATGATCCACCTTATGCCCTTTAGACACAGAAACGAGAGCCAAAAGAAAAATTATTAATAGAACACCAAAAGTATGCTCCTAAAAGCAACAAATACAATAGTATCTTCTTTCCCCGCCCCAAACATAGAAAGTAAACTTACAACACGTCTTACCTTTTCCACCACCAAGTTTAGCTGCAGTATCATTCCTTTCCGAGTTCTCATTCTCTCTCAGCTGAACTAGATCCTCACTACCTGATTAACAAAGAAGTACATCTAAGAATATTTTTTGATAAGATAAATAATTTTATTAGTGTTGGGAAAATCTACCATATACAAGAGGTATACCAAAAAGTAGAGAATCTACACCATATAAGAACAGAGCATGGAGTTTGAGGCTAGAGTAGCATAGAGTATTTTACAGATGCAAGTATTCACACAGAGGAAAGAATCTCAACTAATGTAGCATAGAATTAGAGAAGGACCACCATAGCAGAACAAGAATTGGAAAATTTAATCAGGCACAGAACAGATCTTTCATTACCAGACCAAAGAAAACTAAATATACATGTCATGTCACCTTTATTGTACTAATGTAATATATATATATACACACACACACACACACTACCCTTCCATTTGCTTTAATTTCACAAGAATTTTTAACTTAAGTCAAGAAGAAGAAAAAAAAGAACAAACATCATTTCACATGATTACCAAAGCACACAGTCCTCATATGCTAAATAAGCAACCAATTAACCAAGGAAAGGAGAAGAAATATGCTTCATAAGTTTACATCATGTTAGTTTTCTTTATCTAAAACAAAATGCATAGCAAAAACATATATTAGAGATACTTTGACTTCTACTAACAAAAAGCAACCAAAAATCACGGTACTGTATGATATTCCTTAGCCAACTTATATGTCTATTCTTTATAACCAAGTATATTAGAAATATTTATGACTTCTAACAAAAAGCAACCCAACAATCATGGTATTTCATAATATTCCTTAGCCAACTTATATGTCCTTCCTATAAAACAAGAAATACTCGATGGCCAGTGGCATAAAGTTCAAAACTGTAGGGAAAATGAGCACGCCCATCTACTCTTCTTCACTTAAAATAGGCATTTGTCGACAGCAGGGTTTGAACCCACGAAATTGCACTTAATCCACATATCACGCGATGCGCTCTTAACATCTAAAGCCATAGGGAAACTTAAATATACAGTATTTCCAATCATAGAAGAAAATCACCAAGAAATAATAATGCACAGAGGAAAAGTATATACATCTTTCTCACTGGCGGAACCTTTTATCTGGATGAGACAACAATTTAGAAAACCATAGCTTTTGTGTCATAAGTGACGCAAACTAGTAGAAAAGAATATTTACAGTCATCATATTCTATCGAGAAGGAATAGTTTGTAGACAATATTCATCCAAGTAAGAAATTGGAAAGAAAGAGGAACCCGAAGACAATATATAGAAAGAAAATTACCATTTGAAGTAGTCAAATCTTGCTCTTTCTGACAGCTTGAAGCATCAGACTTTGGGGAACCTGCTATATTTTTATTCCGCGAGCCCAAATGTATAACAAGCTTTGGCCCCTTAGAGGTCTTTGGCATGCTTGTTTGAATTCCAATATCATCCTCATCCAAATGCTGAGGCTTGCTACCTTTCATTTGGACTGTCCTCTTACCCGTGTTTCCAGTAACCTCATCTATAAATTTGTGCTTTATGACCCCTGCCTGATTAATTGAACATATACCTTCTGTCAAGCTACCAACAGGAGAAGAAAAGCTATCCAATTCTCCATAAGCCTGCAATTCTTCATTCTTGACATCACCAGCACTATACCCACCAGATGGAACATCAGGGTGTCCTTCATTTGGTCCAGTTAACCCCTTCTTTTTACCATATTTCTTGTAAGAAGATTTCTTTCCATATTCCTTGCTCTTTTTGGGAGATTTGTCAACTAAACCTTTAAGAGAAAACTTCAAAGATCGACTATGTTCATTTTTTACTACAGGAATACTATCTTCATCATCTGAAAAGGGTGAAATAGAAAATATTTCATCTTCTACTGGCAACCCAGCTCCTGCCCTCAAACTTGCAATTAAATCTTTATCAGCTACATCTCTCCTCCTCCAAAGCTCCTGAACAGCGTCCTCAAGATTTCTCACCTGAGAACATTAATAGAAAACTATCAGGATAGAGTTCTCGTTTAACTTTTCTAGTGAAATTAATCACTGCCTTAAAAAC